CTGTTTGTGTTGTTCGCACTGGTCGTCGTGTCCCGCGTCCGAGTCCTCCTCCTGTTCCAGACACGCACGAGATGACACTTCGTCCTTCCACTGCTCCACTACGCGTCCCTCTGCCGTCTCCTCCTGCGTCCTCTCTTGCTGATGGTCCGGACCCGGAGTCTGACTCCCTTCGTGCTGCTAGTCCTACTATCACGCGTCTACTGGCCACAGTTGTCACTGACCCGTCGTTTGAGTCCACTGCTGCGTCTGCCCTAGTTGCTGAGCTTGTTGACTTTGCTGCTGCCTGTCGTCTGGACTACGCCGCTAGTCTTGTTGCTGAGTCTGAGTCTGACTCTGTCTGTCCTCCCTCCGTCGGGGGTGAGTGTGCTCTTGGCACGGACGTCCTTGAGGACAGGCAGGAGGAGTTTGAGTGCTTTGCCGCCGCTTTACCTCATCTCGTGTCCATGCTGATTGCCCCTGAGGGAGACCCGGATGCACCAGATATCCCGACCCCGCGCTCTTACGCAGAGGCGATAGAGGGTCCCTACTCCTCTCAGTGGCAGACAGCCATGGACGCAGAGATGGCTTCCTGGAAGTCCACATGCACCTACATCGACGATGTTCCCCCGCCTGGGTTGAACATCGTCAGCGGCATGTGGATTTTCAGGGTGAAGCGACCATCGAGTTCTCCGCCTGTCTTCAAGGCGCATTACGTTGCACGAGGCTTCAGTCAGCGAGAGGGAGTTGACTTCTTCCATGCCTTCTCCCCCACCCCGAAGATGACCAATCTTCGGGTTCTGCTGCACATAGCTGCTCAGCGTGACTACGAGCTTCACTCTCTTGACTTCAACAATGCTTTCCTACAGGGCAGCTTGCACGAGGAGATCTGGCTGCGCCACCCACCTGGCTTCACTGGGTCGTTTCCTGCTGGTACCCAGTGGTTCCTCCGGCGGCCAGTCTACGGTCTCCGCCAGGCGCCCCGTGAGTGGCAGGACACACTGAGGACGACCCTTGCGGCTCTTGGCTTTGCTCCTTCCACTTCTGACCCGTCGCTGTTTCTACGCACTGACACCTCTCTTCCGCCGTTCTACGTCCTCGTGTACGTCGACGACTTGGTCTTTGCCACTTCTGACACTGCTGGACTCGCCCACGTGAAGTCCGAGCTGCAGAAGATACAGACGTGCACAGACTTGGGTGAGTTGCGCAGCTATCTTTGCTTGCGGATCACCCGGGACAGAGCACAGCGCACCATAACTTTGACTCAGTCACACATGGTGTAGCAGGTCCTTCAGCGCTTCGGCTTCACGTACTCCTCGCCTCAGCCCACTCCTCTGCCTACTCGCCACTCGCTCTCAGCTTTGCCTTCAGATGAGTTCGTAGAGCCGAGTGGCCCATATCCAGAGCTTGTGGGCTACCTCATGTACCTGATGACCTGCACTCGACCTGACCTAGCATACCCTCTTAGCATCCTGGCACGCTATGTTGCTCCTGGGAGACACAGGAAGGAGCACATGGATGCCGCTAAGAGGGTGTTGCGCTACTTGTGTAGTACGTCGGGCATGGGGCTCGTGCTTGGAGGACGGGCTCGAGTTGTCCTCACTGGTCACGCAGACGCTTCCTGGGTTGACGACTTGGCTACGCAGCGGTCGTCACAGGGTTACACGTTCAGCCTTGGCTCCGGCTCTGTTTCTTGGCGGTCTACCCGCTCGTCTTCTGTTCTCAGGTCTAGTTGTGAGGCTGAGATCTATGCAGGGATCATGGCTGCACAAGAGTTACGCTGGCTCACCTACCTGCGGACCGACCTGGGAGAGCCGCCTCGTTCTCCTCCAGTGCTGTACGTCGACAACAAGGCCATGATTGCCTTGTGTCAGGAGCACAGACTGGAGCACAGGACGAAGCACATCGCTCTGCGCTATTTTCTTGCTCGAGAGTTACAGCAACGTGGTCAGCTTCGTCTTGCTTACGTGGCCACTCGGGCCAACACTGCTGATGTCTTCACCAAGGCACTTCAGCCTTGTGATTATCAGCGTTTCTGTACTGTTCTAGGCCTTGTGCCCACTGGGCCTCACTTGCTTACTTCTTGACTTCGCTTGTACTGTGATCTCTATACATATACCTGCATGCTTACTCTTGCTAGGTTGTGATTTCTGTATTGTTTGTTCGTCTTTATATAACTCTGCATGTGAACTGGCCTTGTGGCCATTTGCTTGTGCTCAGAATGTGTGGTGACGTCGTGATCCACCCTGAGCTTGCTTGCATCTCTTGACTGGTCTTATGACCTCTTGTTCTCCCCCACTTTGCCTATGGGGGTGTGTCAAACTTATATGCTATAGTCTGTGTAGGCTGTAGTGGGGTAGGCAATATAGGGTACAGCACTTTTGGGCGCGCGCGGCGGTTTCGTCGCCCGTCACGGCACTCTGAGGGCCCGCGCGCCGTCCCCCCTCCCGTCGCTCGTCGAGGCGTCCTGGGGGCCCGCGCGCTGTCCCCTCCCGTCGCCCGTCGCAGCGTCCCGGGGGCCCGCGCGCCGCCCCTTCCCGTCGCCCGTCGCGGCGCCCTGAGGGCCCGCGCGCCGCCCTGCCCATCGCCCCGTCAGAATCCCAACCACTAGACTATTGGAATAAAATGGCTTGTTTGTGTAGCGGGTGAGTGCGCCCATAACCCCGCAGGCCAACGTGCCTGTAACTCTTCCCTAGGATCAATTGGGGATCACAAGTGGACCTCTGACACCACCCCGCACTGGGATGCACGAGGTGCACATACCGGGATTCGAACCCGAGACCTTCGCTCTGATACCATGTCAAGAAACTCTAACAGAAAGTTAGAAACAGAAAGAGAGGTTGCACTAGCGGCAGATAGGATACATATAGCAAACCCTAATTTGGGTTGTACTCACTATAAAGTACCCCACTGCAGACTGGACAATTATAGCATTCTGACAATCTACGTCACCAACCAATGGGCAGAAAGAATATGCAATCATTGCTGTTTAACTCATTCATTTTTTGGATTTTTTTTTCCTCCAGAGCGCTGGGAACTGCGCCATGGGATTAAGAAGCTAGCGTGGTCAAGATAGATAAAAAATAACATTTTAATATACATTCATAAGATCAAAGCCTTCCTTTCTGAGTATCTTTCGTCCATGCTGGGCTGGTTCGATTCGGGCCCTTCGATTGGCTACGCGACTAATTCGGGTACGGAACAGTTTTCAACCCCTTCACGCGGCAAAATTTCCCGCCAAGGGGTTTGTAGAGGAGGTGCTACACCCAGGAATTACCAGGTGCTAAACCCGCGGTTCTGAAGAGGGGGCGTGTTGGCGCGTGATTCTCACGTCCGACGTGGCGTGATCTTCGCTCTGAGATTGACACGATGTGCTCTTGACTGAACTTGACGTTTCACGTTTCACAATGTAAATACAGTCAGCCTTCTTAACCGATGGGTAACTATCACCACCTCCCACAACCTCAAACACTTCTTTATATGTGAATTGTATGGCCTCCGCGCTGACTGTGGTTGAAGTGACATGCACAGTTTGCCAAGAAACTGTACAATACCTGGCGAATCTGCCGTTTCAGTCGAACAGTTTCTTGCGACGAATCACAGAGGTTATTGCTCTGTGCACTACACCCTAATGCTCACTCAACCGCTCACTCTGAACACGGCTACTTCTAATCCATACGCCCAGTGGTCGACATTCACAGCCAACGGCCCGCGCGTTACTAGCCCACGACAAAGCTAAGATATTCTTGACCTCGAATAGGTTAAACGAGTTCCCCAGACAAGACACGCAGGGCTACCCAGATACAGTCCCATTCTCCCCGTAGAGAGCGCATGCTCGAAAGAGGGGCACAAAGAAAGATGGAAAACGGGACTGAAATGGGCATCAGGTGTACCCTGGTTCCAGGCTGTCCTCCTCAAGTTCCCCCACTTTGGCTTCTGGCCGCACCACTTTCTAGTCTTCCGAACCTCCGCTTTCTAGTATTCCGAGCCTGGGTTTCTTGTCTTCCGAGCCTCCGCTTGTGAACATCCCCGTTCTGTATAATTGTCCAGCGTTCGTTTAGCGCGTTTCATTGTCCTTTTAAACGGTGAGGAACGGTTTTCGAGTATTACCTCCCGACCATTGCGCAGCAGGCTGAACGCACGAAAACAACCTGCCCTAACAAGCACTCTTAGGAGGAGAATGGCAAGCCCGATAAATCCGCTAAGCAACCCTTCCATGTTTGTATTTTTACCGACTCGGCAGCTTCATCGCGTCCAGCAACTTCAATTATCCGGTCATGAAACGGTTCTTTTTCGTTATGATCAATATTTTCTGCTCAGGATGAGCGTATTTGAAGGCGTGAGTCGCCTCGCACTGTTAGCGCAACTGATTCTGCTTCCGGCGCCACGCGCTTTCCGTATTGCGATCGCATCGGATCATATCCCACGTGATCATCGTAACCCAGTTCAGATCTCGCCGGAAAGGACGTCTCTCCGTTGTTTCGCGACGAGGAAGGATTACAGTATGAGGAGAGTGAGAGAGTGCCCCGGCTTCCGTCGTTATGGCGTTCGGGCCTCAGTCCACACCGTCACGGTGTTCACCCCGACGCGACGAGTCGTGAAGGGTCGTGTTCACCCCAAGCGGCGCCGCCGCAACGTTCAACAAAAGGGAAATACAGGAACACCTGCGTGCATTCTCGTTCAAGATAACTCTTATCAGTTCCGACCGAACATTTGACAGGCGCAGATTGAGACTTGATACCGCCGATTTACCTTCTTTCGTCTTTCGCCCGCGGTCCTGCTTTTACCACCTGATATCGGTTCCGCGAGGCGGCGAGGCGAGCTCAAGGCTCAACCTGACTCCAATTGGAGTTGTCCCCTCCACTGCCGCCGAGAGTTGCAAGGCTTGAGCAGCAATGCTTGCAGTCGCGCCGCCATCATCTCGTCGCCGCGCCGACCACGCGTGCGGCTCGTTTTACGCCCCCCCTGCAGTCCACATCGACGGCCTAGATTTTCCGTCGGAAGGACTGGCGTCGACGGTCGTGATGGCCCGTTTCTCCAGCGATCTAGGCGCGCAGAGATTCCCGACGCGCGTGGATGCTTTAAAAGCCACCGCGATTGGCGCGCATTCAATCGCTGGCGCGGGGACATTTATCCGCCCCACGCCTCCGCGCAGTCCGCGGGAAGGCAGCGCGGCGCCCGGCAGGCTCCGCCACCGCCACTTGCACTCGTTCAGCGACCTTCAAGAGTCCCTGGATGGTGCTTATGACGGGGATATTGGTGATTCTCCTAGCGTGCCGCGCCCGTCTACAGTTGCTGCGGCTTCTGCGGATGCGGCTGCCACCAGTGGTGCTGTCTCAGCGTTAAGGCTTAACGCCTCGCCCGCCGCGGCAGCGCGAAATTCCGTGCCCCCCGCGGCTGCTTCTGCTTCTGCTGCTTCTGCTTCTGCTGTTGCCACGTCACCAACTGAAGCCATGCCGCCTGGTAGAAGCCGGAGCCATGGCTCTGATACCATGGGGCGGCGGCGCCTGACCCGGCACCGGCGCACGCAGTCAGTGGAAGCAGTGATGGAGTACTATGGACTCACCGAGCAGGCCCTGACTCTGACTCCAATGGGGACTCCAATGGGGACTCCAGTGGTCCAGGCCAGTTCAGTGAAGCGGGTCACTTCAACGGGACAGGTCCGTTCAGTGAAACAGGCCGCGTCAATGACTCCCTCATCCTCCTCGCCCTTCCCACGAGTCTACATGGCTGTACAGTCACCGCATGGGTTACGAAGAGCACGCTCAGCCGGAAAGCAGTCTCCCCGTGAACCAGCTACATGCTTTCTGAAATTGCCTTGCAGCGGCCCCTCCCCCGCCTCCTCTGTCTCCTCATCGCCGTTGAAACCCCTCTCCGTGAAGCAGTCTCCCCGTGATGCAGCTGAATTTTCTCTGAAGTCGCCTTGCAGCCGCCCCTCCCCCCCGTCCTCTGCCTCCTCGTTTCCGTCTAAACCCCTGTCCGTGAAGCAGTCTCCCCATGATACAGCTGCGTGCGCTCTGAAGTCCCCTTGCAGCAGCTTCTCGCCCCCCTCCCCCGCCTCCTCTGCCTTCTCATCGCCGTCTGAACCCCTCTCTCCTCCTCACCTGTCTACTCCTCCCTTGTCTCCTCCTCCCCTCTCTCCTCTTCCCCTCTCTCCCCCTCCCCTCTCTGCACCTCCCCTCTCACCTCGTCCCCTCTCTCCTCCTCCCCTCTCTCCTACTCCCTTGTCTCCTCCTACCTTTTCTCCTCCTCTCCTCTCTCCTCCCTTGTCTCCCCAACCCCTGACCCTGCTGTCATCCTCAAAGCCAATCTCTCTGCCGTCACAAACGAAACTGCCCTTTCGACCGCCGCGATCTAAACCTCGCACGGGCTTGCCAGCTTCAGCCCGTTCTTCTCCAGCCGATTCCTGTGTGCAGCTGAACTGCAAGGTCAGATTCATAAGTGCAGTAGCTGCTGCATGCACAAGTGAGGATCTGAAGGCACCCGTGTGCAGGCCACGAGCACAAGTACTAGGATTACAAAAAGCTCCAATGGAAGTGACCAGAGCTTGGCACCAGGATTACCGAGTCAGAAGGTCTCTGTCCCTGGTTGCAAGATCGACAATGAAAGGCGGTCCTTCGCTTCAAAGCAGTTGCGCAAGGCAGAACGGCGTGTGCGCTTTAACAAGGTGGTGGAAGTGCGGACCTACTTTGATAGCGTTTAGCCTGCTCAGTGTAGCTGTAAATTGGCGAGAAAGCCAGATGTAAGCTCTAAGAAGGCATCCTGTTCTATGTTGCGTGTGTTGTCCATGTGTTGTACACATGGTATGGTACCCACTTATTTCAATTCTGTACGGCTCAATCATAATTCACCCGTTTTAAGGTTCTAATATCGTCTTTTTTATTATGAAAATGTTCAGAGTCCTTCTAGAAGGGTACACAAAGAGATGCTCTGTACCACGTGAAGTGTTGCAATAACACATCAACACACGAATATGTCTTTCAAAGGCTCTGGTTTCTGGGTGTTCAATAACATATAATGACATATTTTACAGGGCAACAAAATAGCGGGGAACAGATGTAACGATATGATTGGGTCTGCTTACGGTGGGACAACATAACTCCGGAAATGCCCTTTTGATGGACGTCGTGTCACCCTGTGAGTGGTCCTGCGCCTTGCCCGTTGTCTATCAGAACCAACCATCAACGGCGCTCCCTCACCACCATGTTCAAATAGTCCGGGGTAATTACCTTCTGGGTAACTCACATCGAGCCCGCTGACGTCAAAAGTCACCTACGTGGCTCGATGGTACCCGTCAGATCATGCGCGCCCCTTCGTGGTACCCATCTTCTCTCCGTGGTACCCATCTTCCCTGCGTGGTACCCATCAACTGTGCGCGAATTCCCTGACTGGTACCGCAACATTTCAACCGAGCTGTACACCGTACACCAAGAGTTTCAATGCGTTTCTCAGTATATTGTCTTAACGTTTACAAGCTCAATAGAGTCACAAGCCCGAAGTGCCACCTGATCGAGTCAATTTATCACACCCATTACCTATAATAAAGTGTAGAAGAAAAGTTGGATTCTTAAATAAAATAGCATTCATTGGGTAGATTTGTTTAGGCTAAGAAACATCGACAATATAACGTGCTATAAGATAACGTAAAACTGATATATTGCATCAACCGAAAAAAAAAACATCCGTGTAGCAAACAATCAACTTACACGTAAAGTATATATTGACTTAAGGTATATTTGATTTTCATTGTATGTATTGTTTTGTTTCCAAAAACCAACGAATGTACGTATTATTTGTTTATGATTTTATGTTTAGCTTTGGGGGTGCATGCTCAATTTATTTGCATACAACCTTATAAACTTTGTTCAAATAACATACTGAGCGCTGCGAAACATGGTCGCAAGATTCACTCTACCTGTCGTTCAGTGGTGTGAGCTTACGAAGGTTCGGAGGTAATGTGAGGATTTTAGAAGAGGAGTTGATTTCTTTCTATGTTGCACTCTGTCCAGTGTAAGGCACCTTCAAACATTTATGTTCAAGGGTATTAATGTTCAATAAGAGTTTGTAAACGTTGTTATTAATATACTGAAAAACGCATTGAAACCCTTGTTGTACAGTGTACAGCTCGGTTGAAATGTTGCGGTACCAGTCAGGGAATTCGCGCACAGTTGATGGGTACCACGCAGGGAAGATGGGTACCACGGAGGGAAGATGGGTACCACGAAGGGGCGCGCATGATCTGACGGGTACCATCGAGCCACGTAGGTGACTTCTGACGTCAGCGGCTTCGATGTTGGTTACCCAGAAAGTAATTACCCAATAGTCCGTCAACATCCGTCATGCACACAACGTCAAGAAACAACGGGCATTGAAAACCGTCCATTCTCATTGGCTCGAACATCCGAGGGCTGAGATAAGATCTGTATGTTCACTCCGTTTCGTCACGTGTTGATGTCAAGATGATGTTCGTGCCCTTTCTTGACGGAGTTGACATTTCTCTCCAGATGCTTGTTGATTCATGAAACGAAACGATACGCCACCAAGCAACACACAACACGAAATTCATTCCCTCCTCACCCATGGGTACCCATCATCACCTTCCAAAACCACGAACAACAACTCCAGAATCACGCGTCTTGCCAAACAGCTCACTCTCGCCGTAAGGGCGGGGGTGACCCGCCCTAAGGGCCCTACAACACCAGCCTTACAGCCCGGCAAGCCTAGTGTGTTGTGAGCAAGAAGTTGTCAAACCCCGTCAGTCCTTCAATCGAAGACAGCCAGCCAGGTTTTCTGTGTGCAGAAACTCTCCACGTCGATCAAACTACCTGGCGATTAGGGGACCCATAGTTCTCTTGCCCTGACTGTGGTGAGGTAAAGTGCCGTGGACAGATATGGTATACCTGGGGGTAATTACCTTCTGGGTAACTCACATCGAGCCCGCTGACGTCAAAAGTCACCTACGTGGCTCGATGGTACCCGTCAGATCATGCGCGCCCCTTCGTGGTACCCATCTTCCCTCCGTGGTACCCATCTTCCCTGCGTGGTACCCATCAACTGTGCGCGAATTCCCTGACTGGTACCGCAACATTTCAACCGAGCTGTACACCGTACACCAAGAGTTTCAATGCGTTTCTCAGTATATTGTCTTAACGTTTACAAGCTCAATAGAGTCACAAGCCCGAAGTGCCACCTGATCGAGTCAATTTATCACACCCATTACCTATAATAAAGTGTAGAAGAAAAGCTGGATTCTTAAATAAAATAGCATTCATTGGGTAGATTTGTTTAGGCTAAGAAACATCGACAATATAACGTGCTATAAGATAACGTAAAACTGATATATTGCATCAGCCGAAAAAAAAACATCCGTATAGCAAACAATCAACTTACACGTAAAGTATATATTGACTTAAGGTATATTTGATTTTCATTATATGTATTGTTTTGTTTCCAAAAACCAACGAATGTACGTATTATTTGTTTATGATTTTATGTTTAGCTTTGGGGGTGCATGCTCAATTTATTTGCATACAACCTTATAAACTTTGTTCAAATAACATACTGAGCGCTGCGAAACATGGTCGCAAGATTCACTCTACATGTCGTTCAGTGGTGTGAGCTTACGAAGGTTCGGAGGTAATGTGAGGATTTTAGAAGAGGAGTTGATTTCTTTCTCTGTTGCACTCTGTCCAGTGTAAGGCACATTCAAACATTTATGTTCAAGGGTATTAATGTTCAATAAGAGTTTGTAAACGTTGTTATTAATATACTGAAAAACGCATTGAAACCCTTGTTGTACAGTGTACAGCTCGGCTGAAATGTTGCGGTACCAGTCAGGGAATTCGCGCACAGTTGATGGGTACCACGCAGGGAAGATGGGTACCACGGAGGGAAGATGGGTACCAGCGCATGATCTGACGGGTACCATCGAGCCACGTAGGTGACTTCTGACGTCAGCGGCTTCGATGTTGGTTACCCAGAAGGTAATTACCCTATACCTGGCGATTCCGCCGTTTCAGTCAGGCAGCTTTCGGCGACGAATCACTGAGCGTTTTGCTCTTCGCCTTTTTGCTGCCTAGCCTGGTTCCAGTCTGTCCTGAAGTTCCCACTTGGTCTAGCATCTAGGCTAAGCACCCTTGGAGGCAGATGGCAGCATTTCGAGATAGATACACTATGCAATTTTCTCCCATAATTATTTTTCCCACATCGGCAGCTTTTCCGCTTCTAGTAGCTTCTGTTATCGGGTCATAAACAACCTTTTGCTAGTTACGCTATGATTGATATTTTCTTCTCAGCCTGAGAGTATCTAAAAGGCGTGAGGGTAATCTTACCTCGTTGTACTGTTGCGCCATAGATTTAGCTTCTGCCGCGCGCTTTCAGTTATGGCGATCGCAATGGATCGAATCCCAGGTCATCGTATCTGTAGTACGAACATTCCGCCAGCGAGACTGACTCCTCTTCGCTGTTTTAGCGCGAGGGGGAATCCCAAAGCGAGTGAGGGATGCCTTCCCGCCGCCTTACGGGCAGCCGACGTTCTGGTTTCCGGGCGGCGAGGAGAGCGAGGGATATCCTTCCCGCCTTTCGGGCAGCCGACGTTTCGGGCAGCCGATGTTCCGGGCGTCCGGCCTTTCCGTCATTCGGCATTCGGCCATCTTGGTCGTCCGCAGCACTATTTCCCAGCGCGGAGTTGACCTTGAAGCGACGGAACGAGTAGTACAAAGGGAAACGCAGAACCACCCATTCGTGCATTATCTGTTTACAAGCTCCTACAACTCCCAACTTACTCATTTCAGAACTCTCCTCTCCGGCGCGGTTCTATACCTGGAAACTACCGTTTTCTTATCCGTCGCGGTCTAACCTGATTGTCTCCACTGCGCTACCATTAATATTACCATTGCGTCCGACAATTTGAGCAGCCATGCTTGCGGTCGCGTCATCAACAGCTCGTCGCTACCACGTCTACGGCTCGTTTTCACCGCCTGCGGTCCGAATTGACGGCCTAGATCCGTCGGAACGTCTGGCGTCAACGGTCGCGATGGCTCGGTTCTTGAGTGATCCAGGCGCGCTAAAATTTCCCCCTCGCGTGGACGCTTCTACAGCCGCCGCGCCTGCTGACGTGGCGCCAGCCGTCGCTGGCGCGGGACCATATCTCCGCCCCACGCCTCCGCGCAGCCCGCGCGAAGGCCCCAGCGCGACGCTCGGGTTCCGCCACCGTCGCTGGCACTCGTTCAGCGGCTTTCAAGAAATTCCGGGCGAATGCGGATTTTGTGGCGCACCGGAGTCTCTGGATGGTGCTTATGACGGGGATATTGTTTATCCTCCACGCGTGCCGCGCCCCTCTACAGTGACGACTGCTGCGGCTGCTTCTGCGGCTGCTGCTATGTCATCGTCTCTCAACCCCACGCCCGCCATTGCAGCTCGATATCCTGTACTTCCCGCAGCTACTGCTGCTGCCGCTGCTGCGACGTCACCGCCTCCTGCTGAAGTCATATGGCCGCGGCGAAGCCAGAGCCATGGCTCTGAAACCCTGGCACGACGGCGCCTGGCCCGGCACAGGCGTACACGGTCAGTGGAAGCCGTGATGGAGTATTATGGAGTGACTGAGCAGGCCGCTTCAATAAGCCAGTCTCAGGCCAGTACAGTGAAGCAGGGCAATGCAATGACTCCCTCATCACCGGTGCCATTCCGACGAGCCTACATGGCCGTACAGTCACCCCATGGGTTACGACGAGCACGCTCAGCTGGAAAGCAGACTCCCTGCGATGCAGGTACAAGCTCTCTGAAGTCGCCTCGCAGTGGCGTTTCCTCCGCCTCCTCCGCCTCCTCATCGCCATCAAAACCCCTCTCTCCTCCTCCCTTGTCTCCGCCGCCGCTGTCCCTGCTCTCATCCTCAAAGCCTGTCTCTCTGCCGTCACCATCGAAACCTACCTCTAGATCGTCGCGATCAAGACCCGTCGCTGGCCTGCTGGCATCAGGGCGTTATTCTATCCCAGATTCTTTTATGCAGTCAAGCTGCAATGCTACCTCCTCCAGTTCTCCTGCTAAGGCAGCAGTAGGAGGAGGAGCAGCTTCTGATACATGCACAAGCGGGGATCTCAAGGGTACAATTGTAGTGCAGGCTACAAGCGGCAGTGGCATGTCAAAGAGCAGCATGGGAAACGACAAGAGCTCGGCCCCGGGAATACCAAGTCAGGCAATTCCCATCCCTGCTGGCAGCACCTATGATGCAAGCATGCCGTCTTCTTGTCAGTCGCCTAAGAACAAACGGCGCGTGCGCTTTAGCAAGATGGTGCAAGTTAGAACCTTCTTTGATTGATGCCTGATAGGTGGCACATGGTACAGACATTCGGTATATTTGTAAATTGGGCTAACCAAACTACTGGCAGCTGATCACTGTACAAATTCTAATAAATATATATCACATCTTAGGCATCTGCCCTTATCCTGATCAGATCTTAGTCCCAACTCGTTTACACTTTAATTGCATGATTACTATGCCCTCTGACACATTAGAAGTACCGTTCTCTAATTTTGCATCTTGAAGAGCGGTACTAACATCTTGAAATCCTCATGCATATGGTTTCATTGGTTCGCATGTAGTAAGTTCTGTTGATGCAATCGAGGTATTCCACATATCGTATTCGACAATCCCCCCTCGTTTGCCACCAGCACCACCAGCCTGACGGAATCTTGGAATTTAGGGATGTACTGAAACTCTGATCGCAACACAGCGAGGCGCTTTCTCTGTAGATTATCTGCGAGTTAGGAAACGCCTGGACTCGAACCAGTGCGCACCGCGAGTTCTGCGACGCGTTTTTCGGACATTATATTCTTTTTTCATAGGTGTCACGAAGCCTCTGAATATTAGGAGTTCATGAGTTTGTTGACTCACGCGTTCCTCAGTTTTATGCCGTGTGGAGTGCACCAAAGATTCCATCTGTCGTAAATTTCTTGGCAGGCGTCTCCAACATTTTTAGGTAGTCGTCGCTGGCTCGGCCTTTTGTTGTGAGTCGACTCAAAGCTTAGTTCGGCCTTTTATCAGCCATCTGGCTTGTCGGGTGCTGCTGCGAATTCAGACTGCCGTCGCGTAGTAGAAAGTAGACGCTTCGTGCCTGTGCGGTTCGCGCGCGTAAGAGCTCGTAAGAGGAAGGCGTCCCGGCGATTTTTAACCGTTGACCGACTGAGACGCTAGAAACTTTGGCAGGGGATTCTTTTATCGCACAGGAATTTCTGTGACCACGCACAGGGACAGAGATTCTACCTGATACCTGCATAGATTCTGCACGACTCTACTACCTGCAGCACGCTTGCGCTGGGGTCACAGTTACATTCTACCTTGACAGCCGCATAATCCACGTGTCACAACACGCTGGCAGCTTTGTCACCTCCCATACCCGACCAGGCTCCAGGAATCTTGGAGGAATCTTGGCAGAGACACGCGATAGGGTTTACTTGTTTTTTCAGCAAGGGACAGAGTTCACTTTGATTTTATTTTTCCTCTCACCCGTAGCATTAGCTCTTCCTTCTCATACGACGAAGCCCGGTTTGGCGCCGTTTGCGACGGACGAAATTGACGCCATTATTCCGGATTCTTCAAGCCGCCGCCCATACCTCTCCCTTACAAGCCTTTGGCGCCTTTTGGCGGCGAGTGCGGCGGGTGCGACGGAGCGGATCGAGGGTCTGTTTCCGGCCTTTTCAGGCCTGGTGTACCTATTCGTCTACCTGCGCGTCCTGGTTCGCCGCACAGCGCGCATCATGCTCGCCAGGGTGAGTGTGAGCAGTTTCGGAGGCGGGTTGGAACTGTATGACAAGAAAAGAATGATGTCTCATGAGGTGCCCGTGAAGGCGTCAGTTGCGCGTCCTGGTTCGCCGCACAGCGCGCATCATGCTCGCCAGGGTGAGTGTGAGCAGTTTCGGAGGCGGGTTGGAACTGTATGACAAGAAAAGAATGATGTCTCATGAGGTGCCTCTGAAGGCGTCAGTTGCGCGTCCTGGTTCGCCGCACAGCGCGCATCATGCTCGCCAGGGTGAGTGTGAGCAGTTTCGGAGGCGGGTTGGAACTGTATGACAAGAAAAGAATGATGTCTCATGAGGTGCCTCTGAAGGCGTCAGTTGCGCGTCCTGGTTCGCCGCACAGCGCGCATCATGCTCGCCAGGGTGAGTGTGAGCAGCTTCGGAGGCGGGTTGGAACTGTATGACAAGAAAAGAATGATGTCTCATGAGGTGCCTCTGAAGGCGTCAGCTGCGCGTCCTGGTTCGCCGCTCAGCGCGCATCATGCTCGCCAGGGTGAGTGTGAGCAGCTCACAAGTGCGCAAGATCATGGAGGAGAGCTAGCTCAAAACCACGAGACAAGGGAAAGATCTTGAGTTGACTTTTGAGTCGACTCAAAAGTCAGTAGGAGAGCTCAAAACCGCGAGACAGGAGAAAGATCTTGAGTTGACTTTTGAGTCGACTCAAAAGTCAGTAGGAGAGCTCAAAACCGCGAGACAGGAGAAAGATCTTGAAGTTGACTTTTGAGTCGACTCAAAAGTCAGGAGAGAGCTCAAAACCGCGAGACAGGAGAAAGATCTTGGGTGCTTCAAAGGGCCTTCAAAGGCGTTCCACCTTTACCGAACCCCCTCGATCGTTCCACCCTCGCGGGTGCTCAACACCATCATCGGGGGGTCGGGGTCCAAGCTAGGGCACGCGCTGGGAGATGCGAACCCTTTCGTATGTGGAAAGCAGGTGTTCGACCTCCCCTTGCCTTGCGAAATCCCCCTCCTTCTCCCCGCTTTGACGCGTTCAAGCCATCCGTGTGAACCCCCCTCATTGCTCCCCACTCGCAGGTGTTCAACACCATCATCGGGGGGTCGGGGTCCAAGCTAGAGCGAGCGAGCCACGAGCGTATGCATGAACCCCGTTGCCATGTGCCATGTGCGTGTGAACCCCTTCCCTCCCCACGCACAGGTGTTCAACACCATCATCGGGGGGTCGGGGTCCAAGTTGGAGCGCGCGCTGGGAGATGCGTTCCCCGAGGGGGAGAGGTACTTTGGGCTGGAGAACTTTGGCAACACGTGCTACTGCAACAGCGTGCTGCAGGTCGGTGGGTGCACACAGTAGGTGCTATATGGTGATTTGGGCGCTGGGAGATGCGTGCGTTCCCCGAGGGGGAGAGGTATTTTGGGCTGGAGAATTTCGGCAACACGTGCTACTGCAACAGCGTGCTGCAGGTGGGTGGGTGCAGTCCAGACAGTAGGTCACGCAGAAATCTAGGTGCTTTAGGTGCTTTTAGGTACTTTTATGCTTTTAGGTACTTTTATGCTTCTAGGTACTTTTATGCTTTTAGGTGCTTTTATGCCTTTAGGTGCTTTTATGCTTTTAGGTGCTTTTATGCTTTTAGGTACTTTTATGCTTTTAGGTACTTTTATGCTTTTAGGTACTTTTATGCTTCTAGGTACTTTTATGCTTTTAGGTGCTTTTATGCTTTTAGGTGCTTTTATGCTTTTAGGTGCTTTTATGCTTTTAGGTACTTTTATGCTTTTAGGTGCTTTTATGCTTTTAGGTACTTTTATGCTTTTAGGTACTTTTATGCTCTTAGGTACTTTTATGCTTTTAGGTGCTTTTATGCTTTTAGGTGCTTTTATGCTTTTAGGTGCTTTTATGCTTTTAGGTGCTTTTATGCTTTTAGGTGCTTTGGGGGCCATTAGGCACCTTTTTTGCCCTCCAAGTCCGCGAGCACCTTTTGGACTGCTCCGCCAAGCACATGCCCCCCAAGTCCGAGCGGTCTCCTTACCTACTCACAACCTAACTCCCCACCCTCGTCCCCCCTGCCTGCCACGCCACAAACTAACCCTCCTTTCAGTCGCTCTCCTTCTGTGTGCCGCTCCGCGAGCACAAGCACAAGCTCACCTCTTGGATACTACTACGCCAAGCACAAGCCCTCCAATGAGTCTAAGGAGTCTCCTTACCTTGCTTCAACTACCCTCATTCCCCCTACCCGCCATGCACTCACTTGATTCCCTTCCCAGGCGCTCTACTTCTGTGTGCCGTTCCGCGAGCACCTACTGGACTACTACGCCAAGCACAAGCCAGCGAATGAGTCCGAGGAGACTCTCCTCACCTGCCTTGCAGAGCTTTTCAACCAGGTGTGTGTGTGCGCCATTGTAACGAGGTGACTTTTGAGTCGACTCAAAAGTCGCCTTGCAGAGCTCCTCAACCAGGACGCCTTGCAGCCTGCCTGCCTACCAGTCACATCGGGTTTTGGGACGTCTTAAAACTCTCAAGAGACGTCTCAAAACTCTCAAGAGACGTCTCAAAACTTGCAGAGCTCCTCAACCAGGTGCGCCTTGCAGCCTTGCCTACCTACCAGTCACGTCGCCTCCGGCGTCCCTCAGGTGTTGCTCCTCAGGTGTGCTGCAGGCTCGTTACAAGATGTATCTGTATGGCACCTTGTGTGATTTTCATCGTCCTTTCCTGCTTTCCTCACAACTCCTCTTCCCCCCTGCTCTGCGCCTTCTCCCGGCACTCACACCCCATGGCATATCAACTCACAGAAGCGCTAAGACGGAGGTCATAGCGCCGCGCAGCTCCGTGCGTCTGAGTCAACCCACGCCTCCTCCTCTCCTGATTGCCGTCCATCGCTCCTCATGCCCCCCCTGGCAGATCAACTCACAGAAGCGCAAGACGGGGGTCATTGCACCGCGCCGCTTCGTGCAGCGAGTGAAGAAGCAGAAGGAGCTCTTTCGCAGCTACATGCACCAGGTGAAAATCCAGGCGCCAGGTGAATAATCAGGCTTCAGGTGAATAGAATGCACCTGGTGAAAGCTCAGGCATCAGGTGAACGTTCAGCCATCAGGTGAAATTGCAGACAAAGGTGAGCAGACATAAAGTCGAAAATTAGACAACAGGTGAAGACTCAGACATTAGGAGAGATTCTCGACACAAGGTGAGATTTCAGTCGCCATGTGAAATTCCATCCATCAGGTCAAGAATTCATGCACTGGTGTTACTGCCTTTGACGCCCCCTGTCGAGTCCCACTTAAAGGCCATGGTTCAATACGTGGCAGCAATTTCTTGGTTGAGACACCTAGGTAGGTGATTGTGTTTGCGCAGAAAGAACGCTTGTGAAAAAAAAATAAAAAATTTTGATGGTAACCGGTTTTGGCGTGAAACGCCTTCTTCACACGAGGTCGAGAATTCATGCACTGGTGTTACTGCCTTAACTCCCCTCCCCCTGTGCCAGGTGTTGCATTGCACCACCTGAGCACTGATGCTGGGCAAGCAGGGCAGGCAGAGTTGGGCTCAGATGAGGTCGTTTTTGAGGTGCCTCAAAAACGAATTCATGCACTGGTGTTACTGCCTTAACTCCCCTCCCTGTGCCCTGATGCTGGGCAAGCAGGGCAGGGCAGAGTTGGGCTCAGGTGTTGCATCTCAATCAGGTTTCTCCCGATATTCCCACTCCCATCAGGACGCCCACGGGTTCCTCTACTTCCTTCTCAACGAGCTCGTGGACATTTTAGAGAAGGAGGCGCGGGCAGGGGGAGCGGAGGCTAGCTGGCTAGCAGGTTCACGCCCGTCAGTTCTTCCTCCCGCCCATTCCCCCATCCCCATCAGGACGCCCACGAGTTTCTGAATTTCCTTCTCAACGAGCTCGTGGACATTCTAGAGAAGGAGGCGCGGGCAGGCAGAGCAGCAGATGCCTCAGGCAGGCCTCTCCCGTCCGTTGCCTGCCTCGGATGTTGAACGTCAATTTGCTCTCCGCTTCATCCCGCCCAACCCCCCCCATCCCCCTCGATCTCCCATCAGGACGCCCACGAGTTTCTGAATTTCCTTCTCAACGAGCTCGTGGACATTTTAGAGAAGGAGGCGCGGGCCGGCAGGGCGGAGGCAGGGAGGATTATCCACCCCAACCCCCCTGCTGCTGCTGCCGCTGCCGCTACTCCGGTTGCTTCTGGTGGTGGTGCTGCTGTTGCTGCCGTTCGGTCTGACGGAGGGGCGAGAGGGAGTGAGGGAGCTGGGGAGGGGAGGGACGGCAATGGGGGAGGAGAGAGTGCAGCAGCAACAGCAGAAGGTGCACCTGCTAGTTCTGGTGTTGCTGCTGCGTCTGCTGCTGCTGCTGCAGCCGCAGCAGCTGGGGCAGGGGGAACAGCAGCTGCTGGGAGTGCTGCTGGTGGGGGTGGCAGTGGGGCGAAACCAACGGTGGTGACGTGGGTGCATGAGATATTCCAGGTGTGAGCTGCTGGGGTGTGTGAGCTGCTGGGGTGTGTGAGCTGCTGGGGTGTGTGAGCTGCTGGGGTGTGTGTGCTGCTGGGGTGTGTGAGCTGCTGGGGTGTGTGAGCTGCTGGGGTGTGTGAGCTGCTGGGGTGTGTGAGCTGCTGGGGTGTGTGAGCTGCTGGGGTGTGTGTGCTGCTGGGGTGTGTGAGCTGCTGGGGTGTGTGTGCTGCTGGGGTGTGTGAGCTGCTGGGGTGTGTGAGCTGCTGGGGTGTGTGTGCTGCTGGGGTGTGTGAGCTGCTGGGGTGTGTGTGCTGCTGGGGTGTGTCCTCTCTCCGTTGTCCATCCCTCCTCCCTCCTTTCTCACTCCCTCCCTTCTCCCTCCTTCCTACATCCTGCCTCCCTCCTCCCACCCACCTTCCTTCCTCCTTCCGTTCTCCCTTACTCCCGGGCACACTCACAAATGAGACGCGCTGCCTGAGCTGTGAGGCAGTGACTGCTAGAGACGTTCCTGGACCTGTCTTTTGACATCGAGCAGAACAGAAGCGTCACCAGCTGTCTGCGCAACATCTTCACCCCTGCACTCTTCCCTCCTCGTCCCCATCCCACCCTTCCTTTTCCCACTCCGGCGTACCTTAACAAAACAAAACACGTTGTCCCTGCTGCTGTGAGACGGTGACAGCACGGGATGAGGCGTTTCTGGACCTCTCACAAGACATCAAGCAGAACAGCAACCTCACCACACCATCTGCCTGCGCAACCTTCTCATCCCCTCCTTCCTCTCTCCCCCCCCCCCCTCCCACCCTCGCCTTCTCCCTATCCAGGGCACCTTAACAAACGAAACCCGCTGTTTGTGCTGTGAAACAGTGACAGCTCGGGACGAGGCGTTTCTGGACCTCTCATTGGACATCGAGCAGAACAGCAGCGTCACCAGCTGCCTTCGCAACTTCTCCTCCACGGAGACTTTGAATGGCAACGACAAGTTCTTCTGCGACACGTGCTGCAGGTGGGCGCTGGATAGGGAACCTGGTAGGACAGGGCATGCTGTTAACAAGTCAACAGGTGGCAGTCTCACCAGCTGTCTGCGCAACTCCTCCCCCACAGAGACTTTGAATGGGAACGACAAGTTCTTCTGTGACACGTGCTGCAGGTGAGGATGGGATGAGGAAGCCTTGTAGGGCTGTCCACGAGTGGACAGGGCATGCTGGTTGTAATACGTCAGCAGGTGGGAGTGTCATGTCATTTTTGAGACGTGTCAAAGGTGGGAGTGTCATGTCACTTTTGGGACGTCTCAAAGGTGGAAGTGTCATGTCACTTTTGGGACGTCTCAAAGGTGGGAGTGTCATGTCACCAGCTGCCTGGGAAAATTCTCCCCCACTGAGACTTTCAACAGCAACGATAGGCCCTTCTGTGGCACGTGCTGCAGGTGCGTGTGGAGCAGCTGGGGCGCTACAAGAAGCTCCCCTACTGGGTCGTCTTCCCCCTCCCCCTCCACCTCCACCTCCCCCTCCCGCTCCCCCTCCCCCTCCCCCTCCCCCTCCCCCCTCCCCCTCCCCCTCCCCCTCCCCCTCCCCCTCCCCCTCCCCCTCCCCCTCCCCCTCCCCCTACCTCTCCCCCTCCACATCCGCCTCCGCCTCTCCCTTCTTGCCCTCTCACCTGATCTTTGCTCTCCCCGTCTGTCCCTCCATCCTCCCTTCCTCCTCCCCTCCTCCCATCCCCCCATCTTTCCCCTCCCCCTCACCCCTCTTCCACCCTTCACTCCCCACCCCCAGCCTGCAGGAAGCGCAGAAGCGGATGCGCATAAAGGTGCCTCCTCGAGTCCTGGCCCTGCACCTGAAGCGCTTCAAGTTCATGGAGCAGCTGGGGCGCTACAAGAAGCTCTCCTACCGGGTCGTCTTCCCGCTCCACCTGCGCCTCTGCAACACCGTCGACGACGCGCCCGGCGCCGAGGCCGAGTACTCGTTGTTCGCAGTCATCGTGCACGTGGGGAGCGGGCCAAATCACGGGCATTATGTGGCTCTCGTGAAGAGCCACAGCCACTGGTTGTTTTTCGATGATGAGAACGTCGAGCAGATCGATGAGTCGCTGGTTCAGACGTACTTCGGGTCGTCGCAGGACTATTCGAGTAACACGGATCATGGGTACTTTTTGTTCTATCAGTGCTTGCAGCCTGAGCTGCTGCAGGGGCCAGGGGCTGGTGCTGGTGCTGCTGCTGCTGCTGCTGCTGCTGCTGCTGCAAGTGCGACTAGTGCTCCTGCCTCTGTTTCTGGTGGCACTGGTACCAATGCTGCTGCTACTGGTGGCAGCACCATTGCTGCTGCAGCCGCTGCTGAGGCAGTTTCTAGTGCTGATGAGAGCTGACCTGGATGATGATGGGAATGTGGAGCAGATAGATGAGTCGCTGGTTCAGACGTACTTCGGGACTTCACAGGATGATTGGAGTAACACGGATTATGTGTGTTTTCTCCTTTATCAGTGCTTGCAGCCTGAGCTGCTGCGGGGACCAGGGGCTGATGCTGATGCTGCTGCTGGTGGTGGTGGTCTGGTAGTGTGCTGCTGCCACTGCGTCTGGTACTGGTGTTGTTGGGGGAACTGGTGCAGGTGCTAGTGGTGGCAGTGGTATCACTGGAGCTGCTGCTGAATCAGTTTTGACTGCTGCTGAAACAGTTTTGGCTGCTGCTGAAACAGTTTTGGCTGCAGGCGAGGGCTGATTTGGAAGTGCCAGTCAGAGGTTTTGAGGCTTATAGATAACTGGGGATCACGCGGTTCTCAAACACTTGAATCAATTCAAAAGCGTTGTTTGGTATGAGCAGATTTTATCATGCTGTTGCACACGGGTTGCTACTGGTACTGCTTCTGGTGTTGATGGTGATGGCAGACCAGGTGTGTGGCAGGATTGTTGTTGGGAGATTCGATGACAGGCGCAGTTTAAACCTGGTGCAATCAAAGTCACCGTGGTTCGGGTGCAGCTAGTGTTGATGATGCAAAACCTGCATGTGTTCCAAGTGGGCTAGTCAATTTTGCTCAAATATTATAGAAACGAATGTAAACTGACTTGATCAGAAATATATATGAAAGAGATAGATACACCCAGGGGCTTATAAAACTGAAATGCGCAGCGTGTCGAGTCGAGACTCTGTTTGCTCCCTAGAACTTTGAAGCGGCATCTGATGAATCTCGTAAACACCAATCCACTTCCGAGGTCCCAGGAGAACTTCTCCATTCATGGGTGCCCACGCGGAGGGTACAATTTCCAAATTAAACGGAAGAAAAGTAGCTGCGATTGGACAACGACACACTTTCAGGCCCAGGGGGGAGCATATTCAGGACTGCGCACCAACCACGCAAAGTCGCCATTGCCACATTTGTTTCTTCAATGCCATCCATTTGTCTGGTCTGGTTCCCCTGGTTCCCCTAGCTGGTCCGCGCAAGACCCGCCCGCGAGGAAGAAGTGAAGCGATGGATCATGGAAGAAACATGTGTGTTTCGGTTCATGCTCAAGTCTGTTTTGGGAACAAGACGTGTGACTCGTACTGTAACGCGGTCTGCCTCTAGTGACGTTTGTCTGGATGCGGGCTCTACACCGCACGTATGGGACAGCGGCAAGTTGGTGGCGCAATTACACACTACTGTAGTTGTGTTTTACCTGGTAAAAAACGGTTCAGTGCGTTACCTGTGCAGTGAGAGCCACCTCCTGCTCAACTGCTTGGATGTGGAAATCGGTGGTGGTCCCACCCACCCACCCACCCACGCAATTGGACCCAGCGGAGGGAGTACGTATAGAGCGACCGCTGAGTTCCCCCAGGATCATCAGCTTGAGAGCAATTTTTGGCGGAGAACAAGCAGGAATCTGCAACCAATTTCCGCCTCTCCAGCCAGCCGCTCGTTCCGCTTGTTTCAAGGGGCTCCCCGTCGTCCCCAGAACTTCTCTTTCCTAACCTGTGACCTCGCTTCGGCAGCTCGGCTGTGGCTTTGGCTTCGATCTGGCCGCTCTTCTACAGGCACACAATTCCGTTCCTTCATCGAATCTCCGGTGGATTTCTCGTCGGACTCCCCAGGTCGTCAGCTGTTCGCTGCAAAAAAATAAATCAAACCCTACTTCGAGTCTAGTTTTTTTCGTGCCGGCAGTCACATGACGGCCGAACGTCAATCAATCGCGACCGGCGATGGCCAAGCGCCCCTCGTAGATCGCCGTTCGCCGGCTAATCGCCGTTGGTCGGCTAATCGCCATCGGCTCGGTCTGCTTGACTGTACACATTCACTTGGCTTTCCCCCGCCAAGTGTGCTTTCCCCGTTCGTCAAGTTTGAAGTGTTGAGAGTCATGGTTCAGTGGACGGACATGGCTCCGTTTACAATTCTCTCTATTTTACCTTGTCCACGTAAAGCCACGTTCAGTATAGACATTGTCACGTGCCGTTGAATGGAACCGAGAGAATGCGAGCTGGTCAGGCATTGTTATTCGGAGCATAGCTGAGGGTACTACAGCATAGCTGTAGCTAGTAGCCGTTCTTCACGGTAGACATCCCTCCGGAACCAGTCCTCAGGAATATTTAATAACTTCCTCCGTTATTTGATTAAACTCCTCGAAATCATCAAGGGCCTTCGCAAACCTGTCTTTAGCTGCATAATCTCGTCCCGCTTTTAGAGCCAAGGAGTGCGCCTGTTTCGTAACAGCTCGATACGTTACAGCCCATGCAAGTATAAACTGTCAGCTTTGACCGTTTGGCGTTTTTGACGGCGGTTTGTCATTTAAAGGTGACACGTATACGAGTCGTCTTCACGTTGACGCCTGAGGTTGCTGCCTCACACGCTATAATCGGATAGATTCGCAGCTAAAGAAGAAAAAAGGGATTTTGTCGACACAAGCAGTCATTTTGGTTCCAGTCATCATATGCAAGAAATTGACCGTTGAAAAACAATAAAAACCGTCGAATCGGCGACAATGTGGCTCGTGGAAGTGCCAGGATCGTGGGTCTCCGATGATTCCGCAATTAAGGACGCCTTAGAAGCTTCTTGGTCGTTTCTGCAGCAGGTGCTGACGTTAGCCTCTGCCGCGTCTCAGGCGAGACGGCAGCATCGCCAGCACCAGCTAAGCCACCCGTCAGCTAAGGCGTCTAAACCGAAAGAAAATGCTGACGTCATTATTGTTCTAGTATCGGTTGTGATAAATACGAGCGTTCGGAAACCTTCAGAATCGTCACGCGTGCGGGGTGCGCGTACCACTAGCTTGAGTGAGAGAAGCCGTGGCGATGATGACTCGGCGAAGGAGGATCGGATCTGGAAGGAGCTGTTAAAGCCTCTCCTGCAGCGAGCCATGGCGATGGGCAAGGTGAGAGTCGTGAAGGTGAACGAAATGAGGTTACAGATTTGAGGGTGAGAGGATAGCGGATGGGGAGGGAGATCTGGAATCATCAAGTGTTGAAGGTGAGAGAATCGAAGGTCAATCGAAGGTGAGAGCATCGAATGTAGCCATTTCGAAGGTAAACGTTAGCGATCGAGGCTGTTATGGGCAGTTCGTGTCGTATGAGGGTAGAATGTCAGATTCGAGTGAGGGTTATTTCCCAATTTTCTTGCGTTCTCTTCTTCCATACTCTCCGACTCCCCTGTCCCTCCCAGGCAATGGTAATCGGCCACGTGGAGCGCAGCACCTCTCGTGCAGACGGCCTCTGCGCCGCGGCTCGCTGGTTCCCCGCATCTCGTCTCTACGCAACACCCGCCACCGCCGCCGCCGCCGCCGCTGCAGCAGCTACTGCGGGTATCGATCTGCTGCCACCGTTGCGCCTCGCCCACCCCTCCTCTGATCTCGGCCTTCCGCTGACGTTCGCCAGCAGCCTGCCTTTAACCTGCAAGCTCGCTACAATCACATCTTCCAATAGCCACTCGCGGAACGGCTCGCTGACGGAGATTGACGAGAACGAGCCAAGCGCGGGCGGGTGGGAGAATGGGGGGGAGATTGGGGGGGAAATTGGGGGGGAGGCTGGGGGAGAGACTGGGGCGGAGACAGGGGGGGTGCAGCGGTGTAGCTTTAGCACAGACGACGGGGTGAGCGTGGGGGGGAGCAGCGTGAGCAGCAGATGGAGTATGAGTAGCAGCGGCAGCAGCGCCAGCAGGAGCAGTAGCAGTGGGGGTAGCAGGTGCATCAGCAGCGGCAGCAGCAGCAACAAAAGCGACTCTCAGAGGATGGCGCAGCTTTTCCCGCCAGATTCTCTCCCACCAGTAGCGCCGTACTCATCCAGTGCAAGTGCTTCTGGTCTCTCCTCCGCGCTGCCACGTGGGGCATCGTCCGCATCCTCTTCCTCTTCCTCTTCCTTCGTCTCTTCCTCCTCTTCCTCCTCTGCTTCCCTTTCCTCTTTGTCCTCCTCCTCTTTCTTCACCTCGAATGCCTCCTCCCTTTCGTCCTCTTCCCTCTTCTCCTCCTCCTCTTCTACGACCGCCTCCGCCTCCGCTTCCGCCTCCGCCTCCGCTTCCGCCTCCGCTTCCGCCTCCGCCTCCGCCTCCGCCTCCGCCTCCGCCGTGTCCTCGGTCTCATACGAGCTGACGCGCTACCCGTGGCACGAGGAGGAGAAGCAGCGGAGCTTCAAGGAGCGCCAGCCTCTGCCGCGCCTGCAGCACCAGCTGCTGCAGGTGCGCAAGCCCACGCTCGCCCCCGCACCAATCCAACGCCGCTACACTCACAACGCCGACCGCCCACGCAGCACCGCCACTAGCGTTTCCATCAACAGTAGTATCAGCATTGCCAGCAGCAGCAGCACTAGCAGCAGCAGCAGTAGCAGCAGTAGCAGCCTCGCCCTCACTTCGTTCACGGTTGCTGAAGCCCCTGCAGGCCCAGCCGTCGCTCCTCTCTCCTCTACGCTTCCCACTCTTTCAGACGCCCCAGTTCCTGCTGCTGAGATTATTAGCAAGGCAACTACAGGCCCCGTCACGGCACCCTTAGCTTCTACCCGTTCCACCGTCTCAGACGGCCCAAGTTCTCTCATCAGGTTCCCGTCCTTCCAGGACGGTTCGGAGCACCTGGGCTCAGGTGGTGCTTCAGGTGGTGCTTCAGGTGGAAAGAGCAGAGACGTGGGGCGGGAATCTGGGGGTTTCGAAGTTACAGAACCAGCAGCGCAGTCAGCAGCAGGTGCAGCAAGAGAGGGTGGGGTGCTAGTTGTGGCTGCTGCTGCTGCTGCTGCTGCTGCTGCTCCTTATGCTGCTGCTGGTGGTGCTGCTGCTGCTGGTGGTGCAAGCGTGCCACGTGTTAGGAGGAACCGTCCTAGGGGCCTCAGCAGGAGCAGCAGCCTCGACAGAACCGACTTCTCCGACTGGGAAGCCGAGGCGGACGGGGGCGGAGGAGCAGTAGGAGGGGAGCGGGAGGCCAACGAGTGCAGCAGCAGCAGCAGGGCAGACGCACCTGCTACAAATGCGCCCCATGCAGCTGGGGTGAAAGGAGGGGGCGTTTGGGGAGCAGTGGAGGGTGAGGGAGTGGACGCTGGGAGCAGTGGTGTGGGAGTGAGTGGGAGAAGGGAGGTTGTAGAGGAGGCTAGAAGCGACGTTGGGCGCGGCGGTGTGGGAGCAGGGGGGGCGTTGGCAGCAGGGGGGTTGACAACAGGGGCGTTGGCAGCAGGGGGGTTGACAACAGGGGGGTTGACAACAGGGGGATTGGCAGCGGGGGGGTTGCTGGGCGGGGTGATGGCGCGCGCGATGGCGCAGCAGCAGGGCAGGGACGCGGTGAGAGCAGGCATGTTCTTCCGCGCTGAGCGGGAGCGCCAGCTGCGGAGCGAGCTGCGGGGCGCGGGGGGCGTGGGGGCCTTGGGCGGAGTGGGGGGAGCGCGGGGAGTGGGGGGTGTGGGTGGTGGGAGGGGAATGGATTCTGGGTCTCCCGCCTTGCCTGTTGTTCCGGAAGATTCGGGGCACGCTGGCTTGGGGCAGACTGGGGGGCAGCAGGGGGCAGGGAAGCAGACAGGGGGGCAGCAGAGTGAGGGCCACTCAGGTGAATTTCCTGGTAGGCTGGGTTTGAGTGAGGTGGAGGGCGGTGCGGGTGGGTGGAGGAAGCAGTGGGCGCATGGGCGCTCACATGAGAAACGGCGAGTGCGGGAGGGAGGCGAGAAGGGAGAGAAAGGAGCTAGGAGCAAGGGTGGAGTGGAGGATAGGGGAGGAGGCGAGAGCGAGAGAGGAGGAGCAGGGGGGAGGGGAGGAGTGGAGCGGAGCAGGCAGAAGGGGCGTGGGGGGAGAAAGGCGCAGGGCTTTGAAGGGCTCATGATGGCTGCAGATGCCATGCAAGGGGGAGCAGGGGATGGTGGGAGGGATGACGGGGGGAATGGCGGGGGGAATGGCGGGGAAGGGAGAGGTGGGGGAGGGGATGGGAGTGTAGGGGAGGGTGACAGGGGGATGAAGAAGGCACGAAGCTTCCCGGATATGGGTGAGAAGGTGAGAGAATATGTGGGGATGCCAGTGTAACAGGGTTACAGCATTTCAAGTGTAGCCCGACATAGCCCGACTTAACAGGGTTACAGCATTTCATGTGTAAGTGGCTCGACAGATGACACAGACGGCTTGTAAGGTGTCGTCTGTCCCCACATATTCTCTCACCCTCATGTGGTGTCGTCTGTCCCCACATATTCTCTCACCCTCATGTGGTGTCGTCTGTCCCCACATATTCTCTCACCCTCATGTGGTGTCGTCTGTCCCCACATATTCTCTCACCCTCATGTGGTGTCGTCTGTCCCTACATATTCTCTCACCTTCATGTGGTGTCGTCTGTCCCCACATATTCTCTCACCTTCATGTGGTGTCGTCTGTCCCCACATATTCTCTCACCTTCATGTGGTGTCGTCTGTCCCCACATATTCTCTCACCTTCATGTGGTGTCGTCTGTCCCCATATATTCTCTCACCTTCATGTGGTGTCGTCTGTCCCCACATATTCTCTCACCTTCATGTGGTGTCGTCTGTCCCCACATATTCTCTCACCTTCATGTGGTGTCGTCTGTCCCCACATATTCTCTCACCTTCATGTGGTGTCGTCTGTCCCCACATATTCTCTCACCTTCATGTGGTGTCGTCTGTCCCCACATATTCTGCACCTTCATGTGGTGTCGTCTGTCCCCACATATTCTCTCACCTTCATGTGGTGTCGTCTGTCCCCACATATTCTCTCACCTTCATGTGGTGTCGTCTGTCCCCACATATTCTCTCACCTTCATGTGGTGTCGTCTGTCCCCACATATTCTCTCACCTTCATGTGGTGTCGTCTGTCCCCACATATTCTCTCACCTTCATGTGGTGTCGTCTGTCCCCACATATTCTCTCACCTTCATGTGGTGTCGTCTGTCCCCACATATTCTCTCACCTTCATGTGGTGTCGTCTGTCCCCACATATTCTCTCACCTTCATGTGGTGTCGTCTGTCCCCACATATTCTCTCACCTTCATGTGGTGTCGTCTGTCCCCACATATTCTCTCACCCTCATGTGGTGTCGTCTGTCCCCACATATTCTCTCACCCTCATGTGGTGTCGTCTGTCCCCACATATTCTCTCACCCTCATGTGGTGTCGTCTGTCCCCACATATTCTCTCACCCTCATGTGGTGTCGTCTGTCCCTACATATTCTCTCACCTTCATGTGGTGTCGTCTGTCCCCACATATTCTCTCACCTTCATGTGGTGTCGTCTGTCCCCACATATTCTCTCACCTTCATGTGGTGTCGTCTGTCCCCACATATTCTCTCACCTTCATGTGGTGTCGTCTGTCCCCACATATTCTCTCACCTTCATGTGGTGTCGTCTGTCCCCACATATTCTCTCACCCTCATGTGGTGTCGTCTGTCCCCACATATTCTCTCACCCTCATGTGGTGTCGTCTGTCCCCACATATTCTCTCACCCTCATGTGGTGTCGTCTGTCCCCACATATTCTCTCACCCTCATGTGGTGTCGTCTGTCCCCACATATTCTCTCACCTTCATGTGGTGTCGTCTGTCCCCACATATTCTCTCACCTTCATGTGGTGTCGTCTGTCCCCACATATTCTGCACCTTCATGTGGTGTCGTCTGTCCCCACATATTCTCTCACCTTCATGTGGTGTCGTCTGTCCCCACATATTCTCTCACCTTCATGTGGTGTCGTCTGTCCCCACATATTCTCTCACCTTCATGTGGTGTCGTCTGTCCCCACATATTCTCTCACCTTCATGTGGTGTCGTCTGTCCCCACATATTCTCTCACCTTCATGTGGTGTCGTCTGTCCCCACATATTCTCTCACCTTCATGTGGTGTCGTCTGTCCCCACATATTCTCTCACCTTCATGTGGTGTCGTCTGTCCCCACATATTCTCTCACCTTCATGTGGTGTCGTCTGTCCCCACATATTCTCTCACCTTCATGTGGTGTCGTCTGTCCCCACATATTCTCTCACCTTCATGTGGTGTCGTCTGTCCCCACATATTCTCTCACCTTCATGTGGTGTCGTCTGTCCCCACATATTCTCTCACCTTCATGTGGTGCCGTCTGTCCCCACATATTCTCTCACCTTCATGTGGTGTCGTCTGTCCCCACATATTCTCTCACCTTCATGTGGTGTCGTCTGTCCCCACATATTCTCTCACCTTCATGTGGTGTCGTCTGTCCCCACATATTCTCTCACCCTCATGTGGTGTCGTCTGTCCCCACATATTCTCTCACCTTCATGTGGTGTCGTCTGTCCCCACATATTCTCTCACCTTCATGTGGTGTCGTCTGTCCCCACATATTCTCTCACCTTCATGTGGTGTCGTCTGTCCCCACATATTCTCTCACCTTCATGTGGTGTCGTCTGTCCCCACATATTCTCTCACCTTCATGTGGTGTCGTCTGTCCCCACATATTCTCTCACCTTCATGTGGTGTCGTCTGTCCCCACATATTCTCTCACCTTCATGTGGTGTCGTCTGTCCCCACATATTCTCTCACCTTCATGTGGTGTCGTCTGTCCCCACATATTCTCTCACCTTCATGTGGTGTCGTCTGTCCCCACATATTCTCTCACCTTCATGTGGTGTCGTCTGTCCCCACATATTCTCTCACCTTCATGTGGTGTCGTCTGTCCCCACATATTCTCTCACCTTCATGTGGTGTCGTCTGTCCCCATATATTCTCTCACCTTCATGTGGTGTCGTCTGTCCCCACATATTCTCTCACCTTCATGTGGTGTCGTCTGTCCCCACATATTCTCTCACCTTCATGTGGTGTCGTCTGTCCCCACATATTCTCTCACCTTCATGTGGTGTCGTCTGTCCCCACATATTCTCTCACCTTCATGTGGTGTCGTCTGTCCCCACATATTCTGCACCTTCATGTGGTGTCGTCTGTCCCCACATATTCTCTCACCTTCATGTGGTGTCGTCTGTCCCCACATATTCTCTCACCTTCATGTGGTGTCGTCTGTCCCCACATATTCTCTCACCTTCATGTGGTGTCGTCTGTCCCCACATATTCTCTCACCTTCATGTGGTGTCGTCTGTCCCCACATATTCTCTCACCTTCATGTGGTGTCGTCTGTCCCCACATATTCTCTCACCTTCATGTGGTGTCGTCTGTCCCCACATATTCTCTCACCTTCATGTGGTGTCGTCTGTCCCCACATATTCTCTCACCTTCATGTGGTGTCGTCTGTCCCCACATATTCTCTCACCCTCATGTGGTGTCGTCTGTCCCCACATATTCTCTCACCTTCATGTGGTGTCGTCTGTCCCCACATATTCTCTCACCTTCATGTGGTGTCGTCTGTCCCCACATATTCTCTCACCTTCATGTGGTGTCGTCTGTCCCCACATATTCTCTCACCTTCATGTGGTGTCGTCTGTCCCCACATATTCTCTCACCTTCATGTGGTGTCGTCTGTCCCCACATATTCTCTCACCTTCATGTGGTGTCGTCTGTCCCCACATATTCTCTCACCTTCATGTGGTGTCGTCTGTCCCCACATATTCTCTCACCTTCATGTGGTGTCGTCTGTCCCCACATATTCTCTCACCTTCATGTGGTGTCGTCTGTCCCCACATATTCTCTCACCTTCATGTGGTGTCGTCTGTCCCCATATATTCTCTCACCTTCATGTGGTGTCGTCTGTCCCCACATATTCTCTCACCTTCATGTGGTGTCGTCTGTCCCCACATATTCTCTCACCTTCATGTGGTGTCGTCTGTCCCCACATATTCTCTCACCTTCATGTGGTGTCGTCTGTCCCCACATATTCTCTCACCTTCATGTGGTGTCGTCTGTCCCCACATATTCTGCACCTTCATGTGGTGTCGTCTGTCCCCACATATTCTCTCACCTTCATGTGGTGTCGTCTGTCCCCACATATTCTCTCACCTTCATGTGGTGTCGTCTGTCCCCACATATTCTCTCACCTTCATGTGGTGTCGTCTGTCCCCACATATTCTCTCACCTTCATGTGGTGTCGTCTGTCCCCACATATTCTCTCACCTTCATGTGGTGTCGTCTGTCCCCACATATTCTCTCACCTTCATGTGGTGTCGTCTGTCCCCACATATTCTCTCACCTTCATGTGGTGTCGTCTGTCCCCACATATTCTCTCACCTTCATGTGGTGTCGTCTGTCCCCACATATTCTGCACCTTCATGTGGTGTCGTCTGTCCCCACATATTCTCTCACCTTCATGTGGTGTCGTCTGTCCCCACATATTCTCTCACCTTCATGTGGTGTCGTCTGTCCCCACATATTCTCTCACCTTCATGTGGTGTCGTCTGTCCCCACATATTCTCTCACCTTCATGTGGTGTCGTCTGTCCCCACATATTCTGCACCTTCATGTGGTGTCGTCTGTCCCCACATATTCTCTCACCTTCATGTGGTGTCGTCTGTCCCCACATATTCTCTCACCTTCATGTGGTGTCGTCTGTCCCCACATATTCTCTCACCTTCATGTGGTGTCGTCTGTCCCCACATATTCTCTCACCTTCATGTGGTGTCGTCTGTCCCCACATATTCTCTCACCTTCATGTGGTGTCGTCTGTCCCCACATATTCTCTCACCTTCATGTGGTGTCGTCTGTCCCCACATATTCTCTCACCTTCATGTGGTGTCGTCTGTCCCCACATATTCTCTCACCTTCATGTGGTGTCGTCTGTCCCCACATATTCTCTCACCTTCATGTGGTGTCGTCTGTCCCCACATATTCTCTCACCTTCATGTGGTGTCGTCTGTCCCCACATATTCTCTCACCTTCATGTGGTGTCGTCTGTCCCCACATATTCTCTCACCTTCATGTGGTGTCGTCTGTCCCCACATATTCTCTCACCTTCATGTGGTGTCGTCTGTCCCCACATATTCTCTCACCTTCATGTGGTGTCGTCTGTCCCCACATATTCTCTCACCTTCATGTGGTGTCGTCTGTCCCCACATATTCTCTCACCTTCATGTGGTGTCGTCTGTCCCCACATATTCTCTCACCTTCATGTGGTGTCGTCTGTCCCCACATATTCTCTCACCTTCATGTGGTGTCGTCTGTCCCCACATATACTCTCACCTTCATGTGGTGTCGTCTGTCCCCACATATTCTCTCACCTTCATGTGGTGTCGTCTGTCGAGCCCCAACCTCATCGCTCGTCGCTGTGTGTGCAGCAAGAAGCAACCTTTGTGATGGTCCCTCCCTTTCTCCCCTCCCCACCCCCCGCCTCCCCTTCCCGTTTCCCCATCAGCCCCCAGAGCAGTCCGCCCCTCGGCGCTCGTCGCTGTGTGTGCAGCAAGAAGCCCCCGCGTTCTCCAATCCCTGGGCCGCCAACACCAGCGAAACCAGCACCACCACCGCCACCAGCAGCAGCAGCAGCAGCAGCATGTTAGTCGTGAGAGGGAGCAGTGCAGCAGGCTCAGCAGCAGGCTCGGCAGCAGGCATGGCGACAGGCACGGCAGCAGGCACAGCAGGCGCACAAGAGCTGGCTTGGAGGCAGCGGGGGGATGGGAACGGGGATGGGGAGGGGAAATGGGAGGAAGATGGGGAGGGGGAAAGGGAGGGGGGTGGGAGGGGAGAGTTGACAGCTGCTGAGATGGCAAGGCGGCGGTTGCAGGAAGCCTTGGGAGGAGTCGAGGAGGACGGAGATGGGGAGGGGAATGGAATTGGCGAGGGGGATAAGCGGGGACAGTTGACAGCGGCGGAGATGGCAAGGCGGCGATTGCAGGAGGCGCTGGGGGGAGATGAGGAGGATGAGGACGACTGGTTGGCGGACGACTTGGGGCTGGGCGCGGCTGTGGTGGCTGCCCGGCGCATCTCCACCAACAGCTGGTCCTCTAGTGCCACGGTGAGCAATATGGGATTGATTGCCATGGACTGAGGCGAGTGAATGGGTGATGAGGAGGATGAGGACGACTGGTTGGCGGACGACTTGGGGCTGGGCGCGGCTGTGGTGGCTGCCCGGCGCATCTCCACCAACAGCTGGTCCTCTAGTGCCACGGTGAGTGTTGGGCCCATGTGTGAGTGTGTTAGGTGTGACTTGATTGGGTTTTGGTGGCTGTGGTGGCTGCTAGACGCATTTCCACCAACAGCTGGTCCTCTGGCGCTACGGTGAGCACTATGGTCAGCCCAATGAGCACTATGTGTGAGTGTGTTCGGTGTGACTTCCTGTTAGACCACCAACAGCTGGTCCCATCCCATCCCACCCGCATTCCTTTCCCGCGCAGCCCTCCCGCACAAGCACTCAGCTCAACGGCTTCCTCTGGCTCAGCGGCTTCGCAGCCCTTGAACCTGTCCCTTTCGTCTTGTCTTGTCTTATTGCCCCTTTCCCACCAACCCCTACCAGCCCTGTCGCACGAGCATGCAGCTCCAACGGCTTCCTCTGCCAGGAAATGGCGGATCTGGCACAGCCACTAACCCATCCCTTCGCTTCTTCTCCCATCCCATCCCCCCCGCATTCCCTCCCCTCGAATCCTTCCAAGCATGCAGCTCAACGGCTTCCTCTGCCAGGAAATGGCTGATCTGGCTCATCGGCTTCGCAGATCCCTTTCCTCTTCTCTTATCCCCCTCCCATCCTTTCCCGCCCCCACCAACTCCCCACGTGTCCCTCCCCACACAGCCGTCCCGCTCGAGCATGCAGCTCAACGGCTTCCTCTGCCAGGAAATGGCTGATCTCGCTCAGCGGCTGCGCAGAGACGACCTAGCAACTGGGGGAGGGGCGGGCGCGTCAGCAGTAGCAGGAGGAGGAGGAGGAGGGTCAGGGAGCAACAGTAGCAGCAGCAGCAGAAGCATCTTTGATCGATCGACAGGGTCAGCAGCGGAATATGCAGCCGTGATGGTTCTAGAGGGGGAGCAGCCGCAGGCGCAGCAGCATCAGGAGCAGCAGCAGCAGCAGACGATTCTTTCTTCCCCGCAGCAGCAGCAGCAGCAGCAGCAGCAGCAGCAGCATCAGGAGCAGCAGCAGGTGCAGAGGGGGGCCAGTGTGGCCTCATGCATGGCAGAGCAAGGCCCGCGCCGCTCTTCCTTCTCAGACTTCACCAGCGAGAGAGAAGGGGCGCGCTGGGAGGAGGGCCTCTCAGGGCGCGTGGAGGGTGAAGGGGAGGTGCAGAGAAGAAACAGCGACAGCTCTCAGCGGGCTGTGTGGTGGGGGAGACGGCTGGGGAGGGAGGAGCAGGGGCAGGGGCAGGGGCAGGGGCAGCAGGGGAAGAGATTTGGGGAGACAGAGCAAGGCGCAGTGCATGTGCAGCATGGGCCCAATGGGCCTGCCTTGGACGCCCCCCCAGCACCTTTCTTAGGAACAGCGCCCTCTGTAGCAGCAAAGCCTTGTTCAGCAGCAACAGAGAGGCCTCCAGTAGGTACGACAACACCTGATTCCAGTGTTCCCCCTCCCTCCTCCTCCTCCGCTGCCTCCCCTGCCTCCGCCTCCGCCTCCGCCTCTGCCTCCTCTCCAGCCCACCTAGCCCCCTCCCCTCCCCGCTGCCTGCTCTTCTCCCCTGCTGACCTAGCCACCATCACCGACGGTTTCGCCCAGGAGAACTTTCTTGGAAGCGGCGCGTACGGCCCCGTGTATCGCGGCCGGCTGGATCCGACCAATCACAGCGCGCCAGCTGGCAGCGGGGACTCGTTTGAAGGTGCGCAATGTGGTAACCAGACTGGTAACAAGCTCAGTAACCAGAGTGGTAACCAGAGTGGTAACAGCAGCAGGGACGGCATGCAGGTGGCCGTGAAGGTGCACAGGTCAGCCAGCAAGCAGGAGGCGATAGAAGCCTTTGTGCGAGAGGTGGATATCCTTTTACGCGTGCAGCACACTCACATCGTGCGCCTGGTGGGGCGCTGCGACCATGACTTGTCACTGGTGTATGAGTTCATGGCGGGGGGGAGCCTGCAGGACCAGTTGCTAAGGGCCAAGAATGGGGTATCTGATGCAGTTGCAGCAGCCGGAGCGGCAGGAGCAGCAGCAGCAGCAGAGGGAGCAGCAGCAGTTGTAGCAGAACCAGGAGCTGGAGCAGCATCAGCAGCATCAGCAGCAGCAGCAGCACCAGCTCCCACCCCGGCGTCAAACTTCCCGCTCCCCCTCCACCTCTCCTGGCGCGACCGCATCCGCATCGCAGCCGAAATCGCCTCGGCGCTACTCTGCCTGCACCAGTCCCACCCGCCCATCCTCCACCGGGACCTCAAACCCGACAACATTCTCCTCGACCAATCACGCACCAGCAAGGTTGCTGATGTGGGCCTCTCCTGCGTTGTCCCGTCCTCCAACGTGGTATTTACCCGGAAAGTCCGCGGGACAATCGGGTTTATAGACCCCGAGGCGGTGGAATCGGGGGAGTTGACGACCAAGTCGGATGTGTATGCGTACGGGGTGGTGCTGATGCTGCTGCTGACGCGCTTCCCCGCTGCTAGGGACCTGCACAGGTACCTGAGCTCGCTCCCGTTTGAGGTTATGCGGAGCCATGCACGTGCTGCGACTGCAGTCATTGCGGGGATTGGAAACAGTGGGAGCGGCAGTGCCAGCAGCAGCACCACCAGCACGAGCACGAGCACCAGCAGCGGTAGCAGCAGCGGTAGCAGCAAGAGCGACGACAACAGCAGCAGCAGCAGTATAGGGCAGTTAGATCCGTCAGCAGGGGAGTGGGACGTGGGGTTGGCTCACCGGCTGCTCGTGGTGGCACTGAGGTGCCTGGAGAGAACGTCAGAGCGACGACCGTACATGGAAGAGGTGATGGAGGCAGTTGGTGCTGTGGCAAGAGATGTTGCTGCCAGGGAGGACAAAGTGGAGTGAGGCAAGGTCTGACGCACACGCGGGAGAGAGTGGAATGAGACGCAGACGCACAGGAGGGGGGTGTGGGAGTTGCAAGTGGGACGTGGGTGGGGTATTTGGCTCACATGTGGCTGCCGGTGGTGGCGCTCAGGTGCCTGGAGAGGGTTTCGGAGCGACGGCCGTACATGGACGAAGTGATGCACGCCGCGGGTGGAGTGGCTAGGGATGCTGCAGCTTTTATGGCAAAAGAGTGTGCAGTGAGAAGTGCTGAAACTACGGAAATTATTGGTTTGGTTGGTTGATATGCTGCTGCGCTGCTGCTGCTTCTGTTGCCGCTGCTTCTTCTGTTGCTGCTGCTTCTGTTGCTGCTGCTTCTGTTGCTGCTGCTTCTGTTGCTGCTGCTTCGTGTGATTCCGGAGCGAGCATTTGAGCAACTTACGACAATGGAGAAGGTCATGTGGTACTGGTAGCTAGTGGGGGCACGAGGCACCCTGGCGTGGTTATTGGTGCACAAGGGTGGAGCGGAGTGTGAAGAGGTTGCGTTTGGACTTGAGGTTGAGGGGCAGATAGAAATGGGATTGGGGCTTATGGTTTAGAATTACGTTCCCCATGTGTTGCAAGTTGGATGTGGTGTGGCTGTTTGCAGGCACAGTAGAAAGATTATGTATAGAGGAGCATTCTCCATTCTGTTTTAGGGCAAGGGTTCAGGATCATGTACAAAAATGTGTGGTGAGTTGTTGATGGAACAAAAAGTTTCACTTCTAGGAAATGTAGTTGTTTAAGTCTGTGACTAGTTAAGCACGTTCATGTGGTAATGTAAACCTTCAGTTCGATTTATCGAAGATAACTCAGCCTCGTCTTGTAGATTCAGATTTATAATGAGGATAAACGTACCGTAATACCACGCGAGGAAAATCGTGGCGTTAGGCTCGAGGGAGCGCATTTCGCGCAGTTTAGTTGATGCAAACCGAACCTCGAGGACCATGGGGTCTTACAATGACAGACAGTGACACACTCCAAATCCGCATGCAAGCGAAAATGACGAGGGTGTGATTCCCAAGCGGTGGCATGAAAGTGCTCACGTGACTAGCGCGCCTCGGCACCGGTGCTGTGCCATGTGCTCGTTACATCTAGTTTCCCGTTTCGTCCTTGGTTTGATTCCTGGTCCACAACCGGGACCGCACCCGGTTCGCGAGCTGGTCCGCGTCGCCCGCACCGAGCTCGCGCGAATCCGAGGACATGCGACACGAGCTTACCTTAGAATCCACGTCGCACGTCCTTGGATTCGCGAATCAGCATCCACCCTCCATGCATTAGAGTGCAAGCATGCACGGGGAGATCGATTCTTTTTAGGCGCCCCAAAAATGGGATCTGTTCTTTAGGCGCCTCGAAAATAGCCACCCGTTGCGCCATTGCCCAAGCACTGGAGCGCAAGCACTGGAGCGCAAGCACTGGAGCGCAAGCACTGGAGCGCAAGCACTGGACGAGGGATGTCTCTTCTGTCGGTGTGGGAGGAAGGTGTTGGAGGGGAGGTGGGGGGAGGAGGGGGAGTGGAGGGTGGGGGGATGTGGACGGAGGAGGAGGTGGAGGAGGAAAAGAGGGGCTGGGGAGGGGCTAGGGAAGGGCGAGGGAGAGGGGGGAACGAGGAGAGGAATCTAACTATCGGCTTACCGGCTTTCGCCCTTTAGATGACCTTCTCTCTTGTAGGCCGGTAATGCACTCTTCCGTGTCGGATCCGCTTCCTATCTTCGTTATTTGCACACAGCACGTCAAATCAGCCGAGTCGGTTTTTTTTTCCGCGGCTGTTAGTCCCAGCCATCTAGTATGCGCAGCCGCGCGTGCTCCGCCTCGTTCGTCCGCACCATCCCCGCTCTGCTTCCGCTTCCGCCAGCCGCACGCTCCTTCTGGCCCTGGCTCCGCGCGGACGCCGCCCTCGCTGGCGCTGCCGCGCAAATCACCTTATCCGCGCCGCCCTCGTCAGCGCCGCCCTCACCCGGGGCGCGGTGTCTCTCCGGCGGCGGCGCAGAGCCACTGCGGACGAGCAGCTGCCGGCCTGAGAGGATCGGCCAGCGGCTGTCAGCGCTCGCGTCGCGGGTGGACTACCGTGCAATTGTGAGGCATTCACCGTCCGATTTTGCATGATGATGTGAATGGTGACCGTCCGATTGATCCGCGCTGTTATCTCAGGAGATTATCACAGTCGAAGCATTTCAACGCAAAGATTGCGAGCCTATGGGTTAATTCCCCGGGCAGGCCGGCAGTTCCTCAGCCCAACCGTCCCGCTACTCCCTGCCACACTTCCTCGGCCAGTCTTGAGACGTTTCAGAACGCATAACTCTCTTGAGTCGTCTCAATACTTGAAAATCGTTTTTGAGACGAGATTTCAATATTTTAGTCTCCCATTTCCCCGTGTCTCCCCACCTGAGCAGCCCTGAGCAGCCCTGAGCAGCCCCACCTTCGCCACTCCGCCTGACAGAGGGGTTTGCTTTGCATAGTGCAAGCCCTTCCCTGTATGTACAGTGCAAACCCCTCTGCCTGGAAGGAACTCTGACCTTTGAGTTGAGTTGAAAGTCAATTCTTCCTGGAAGGAATTCTGACTTTTGTCGCTCCCGTTTCCTTTCCTCGCTCAACCCCATCGCGCCTGCCCCATGCGCAGCCCCCCACTCACCGTGCCTCCCTGTATACGAAGCGGGAGGCGTGTACTTTCAACCCCTGGGCTGCTGCTGCCAACGCTGCTGGCAGCGGCAGCAACACCAGCGGCGGCGGCAGCCGCGGCAGCAGCGGCAGCAGTGGCAGCGGAAGCAGCAGCAGCGTGGGAGTCACGGGGGTAGCGGGACGGTTGGGCTCTGAGCAGCATGGGAGCAGTGCGGCAGACACAGCTGGTGCAGGCGATTTGCCTGAGAGACTTCGCCAGGAGGAACCCGGGGATGCAGCCGCGTTGCAAGATGGGGAGGAGAGGGGTGTGGGTGGAGATGCGGGTGGGAAGGGGGATGGGAAGGTGGAGGGGGGGTTGCAGCAGGGGCACGCGGGGAGAGACTTAGTGGCGGAGGAGAGGGCGAAACGAAGGCTCGAAGAAGCAGTGGCGGCTCTGGTAGTTGACAGGCGGGCGAGAGAGAAGGTGGAAAGGAAGGTGGAGGTGCTGGCGGAGTATGCGCACTGGATTCAGACGGGCGAGGTCAGAGAAGCGGGTGAGGGAGGATGGCCGGCAGAAGGCGCAGAAAGCAGCAGCGTTCCGAGCATGTCCGATCGGGTGGGTGCTGATGTGTCAGTGGAGAGCGCAGAAGCGAAAGTAGCAGGGGAGCATCCCGAGCAGCAGCAGCAGCAGCAGGGGGCGGGAGGTTTCGAGTCTTTTCCACCAGATTTCCGCGGTCCGGTCAAGTTTCCATTCTCAGAGTTAATGAGAATGATTGTGAAGGAGACGTTGGAGAGAAGCCCAGGTGGAGGCATGGGGGGAGTGGGAGTGGAAGCTTCTGAGTTGGAAGGCTTGGAAGGGTGGAAACAGGGACGAAGCAGCCACAGTGCTGCTAGTGAAAGTGGAAGTGCAAGTGCTAGTGGAAATGGAAATGAAAGTGAAAGGGTAGCTCTCTCCTCGACAGCACACCCCTCTTTTCCAGAGACGTCCTCTGCGTTCTCTTCCAGTTCTCCTCCTGCCTCTGCCCGCCCCTCGCCTCCCCGCTGCCTGCTCTTCACCCCTGCCGACCTAACCACCATTACTAACGGATTCGCCCAGGAGAACTTTATAGTGAACGGGGAGTATGGCTCTCTGTATTACGGCCGGCTGGATCCGACCAATTACGGCGCGCCAGCTGGCGGCAGCGGCGAGGGCAAGCAGGGTGAGAGCAGCAGTGTGGGCACGCTGCTCGATGAAAGCGGCGGAGGAGGTGGCACCCAGCGGAGTAGCGCGGAGGCGATAGAGGTGGCAGTGAAGCTGCTCCGTTTCTCCAGCAAGCGGGAGGCAATAGAGGTGATGGATATGTTCACAAGAGAGGTGGACATTCTGCAGCGCGTGCAGCACCACCCGCACATCGTGCGCCTGGTGGGCCGCTGCAAGGACCCCCTCTCGGTTTCCCTCGCGCTCGTCTACGAGTTCATGCCGGGGGGCAGCCTGCAGGAGCAGCTGCTGATGGCCAAGCTCTGGGAGACCAAGGTGGCTCGTTTCTTCGGTCCAGAGGCTTCCAAAATGACTCATGCTGAAGCCGCAGCGGCAGCGGCAGCAGGAACACTTTCGTTACCCCCGCCTCCTTCTCCCGCGCGCTCTTTCCCTCCGCCGCTCCCCCTCCACCTCTCGTGGCGGGACCGCATCCGCATCGCAGCCGAAATCGCCTCGGCCTTGCTCTGCCTGCACCAGTTCCACCCGCCCATCCTCCACCGCGACCTCAAACCCGACAACATTCTCCTCGACCAATCGCGCACCAGCAAACTTGCTGGCATGGGGCTGTCCTGCGTTGTCCCGTCCTCCTCCTCCTCCCATCCCGTGGTCATGGGGAACGTGCGTGGGACGCCAGGGTTTGTCGACACCGAGACGATTTTTTCAAAGACCACGACGGTGAAAACAGACATGTATGCGTTCGGGATGGTGCTCATGCTCCTGCTCACCCGCTTTCCGGAGGTCGAGGATGAGATTGGGTACCTTCACTTCATGCCCTCGGAAATCCGGTGGAACCCTGCGCGTGCTGCTGCTCTTATTGCGGGGTTGGAGGGCACAGGTACTAACAGTGGCAGTGAGATTGACGACCGCATGGGTGGCGTCAGCAGCGGAGGTGTGGGGCAGTTGGATCCGTCAGCAGGGGAGTGGGATGTGGGGTTGGCACACCGGCTGCTGGTGGTGGCGATGAGGTGCTTGGAAAGGACGTCAGAGCGACGGCCGTGCATGGAAGAGGTGATGCACGCTGTGGGCGCAGTGGCTAGGGATGCTGCAGCCTTGGGGGCAAAAGGAGTGGAGTGAGACAGGTGGGATGCTTTGGCTGGACTCACATGCATCTGTTGGTGCTGCTGCCGAACCGATGCTGCCGGTGCTGCCGGTGCTGCCGGTGCTGTCGTGCCGGTGGTGGCGTTGAGGTGCTTGGGAAGGACGTCAGAGCGACGGCCGTACATGGAAGAGGTGATGCATGCCGTGGGGGCAGTTGGGGGCAGCCTTGGGGGCAAAGGAAGTGTAGTGATACAGGGATGACATGGTGCTGCTGGTGGGGCTCAGGTGCTTGGAGAGGGTTTTCGAGAGACGACGTACATGGATGAAGTTGATGCATGCTGTGGGGGCAGTCGCTCGGAATACTGGAGGCATGAGGGCCCAAGTGGAGTGAGGCAACGGTGCAGATGTATTTTTGACAAATGCACGGATCGGCAGACAAGAAGGGGATTGAGTTTGGTTTACAGGCTAGTACAGAACAAACAGTTATGTGATGAACCATGTGTTGCAGTTACTGTAGTAAGCGGAATGTTGGCACTTCAATGCTCAGGAAATTGCTAGAAAATTATGTGCTGTAGAGGGATTGTGCGATGTATTTTGTAAATGATGAGACTCAGAGAAACATTGTCTGGGCAACCAGATGGCTTTGCCCTGAGATGAGAAGCTCACCAGTTTGTGCTCAACCATCATTCCTAGCATGTATAAGTGAGTGTTCTGTTTCTTGGTCGTGGTGGTTGTTCCGGGACAAACTGTAGCGTGTCCTGCTGAATTGCACGTTGACTCAGTTTCTGTGTCTTTGCACTTTGCGCTGACCCAAATATTGACTGCGTCGCAGATATTCAACGTCGATATGTGGAGCTTCGTCTCCAAACCTTTACTTGAGGTTCGGAACATCCTGAGGAGCAACGGGGTTTTGATCTAAGCCAACCGCGTTGCTGAACGACGTGACGAACCTACCTCGTCAATAAAGCCTTGTTGACCGGTCTCTTTCACTGCGGCTCGACATGAGAGGCAGTTTAGTTTTAGATAAATACAGTAGCCATCGTTCTGCATGTTCCATTCATCACCGGCTAGTCAGCTTCTTGTTCAACGAGCCCCCCAGCTCTAGAATCCCGATTCATACATCAGCTCGTGCACAGCACTTCCAAGCTCCAACTAGAACTCACACCTAGTTTTCCTTTCACCCACAGCCATGGCCGTCACCAGGCTTTTCCTCGCGTGCATTCTCCTCCTCGCAGCCACTTCCGCCTTCGCGCAGCGTGGTCCGCCTGGCGGAAGCCGTCCCGGCGGCCAAGGGCCCGGGGGGGCGCGCGGAGGCCCCGGTGGTTCCAGCGGGCCCGGCGGCGCATCTGGCGGACCTGGCGGGCCTCCGGGGCCGCCTGGCGGGGAGCCGCGCGGTCCTCCGCTTAACCTGACGGCCGTCGGGAATCTGACGGCCGACGTTGGCGCGCGATTGGCCAACTGCTCCGCGGATCAGGAAATCTTCGACGGCCGCTTCCATCTCGCCATTTTCAAGTAAGCGACGTTTTCCCACACAGATTACCGCATCCTCAAGGTTCGGATGATTTTTCTGTTCAACGCACAGCAGCTCCAAGCGAATACGGTCGTTGTTCCCCTCGCCTCCCTCCCCGTCATTCGCTCATCTCCTTCCTCCTCCCACTCTTTTCCCTTCCGTCGCTCGCAGAAACTCCACCGGCAACTACAATCTCGTCGTAGACGCTCTCCTAGTCGGCGCCGTCGGCGGCCCTCCTGATTCGCTCGCGATCGTGAAGGGCGCCGTCTGCGACTCCTCCGCTTCCGCCGCCCTGGCGCTGCCTGTCTCCGCGTCCGACTGGCAGCAGCGCGCGGGATGGTGGCTGCTGCACGCGGAAGCGCGCCTCGATGCGTTTCTCGAAAACGCGGACGCCGCCACCGTCGAGGCGCTCCTCGCCGTCGTCCCGAACGCGACGCTTCCGCAAGGCGGCGGGCGCGGCGGCAGCGGAAGCGGCGCAGGGGCCGCGGGGAAAGGACAGGGCAGTAGGCGCATGGGGCTGGGGGTGGGGAGGCTGCTCCTCCGCGCGCTGACCTCCGCCAAGAAGGGGGGACAGCAGCAGGGAGGGCAGCCGCAGGGGGGCCAGCAGCAGCCGCCGGCTGCAGGTGGACTTTCAGGTGGTTTCCCTGGTGCTGGGCCGAGCGGCCGGGTGAACAGCACAGTGACCGGATACGCCGTGCTGGCTGGAAGTTCCGCGTCGGGAGTGACCTGGGGTGCGCAGCTGATGGGGGTGAAAATGCCCGCCGCTCCTTCGACTGCTTGATTGATCGTTACTGAAATGAGGAAAATTCACTCAAGCTGAGTGAGTCCGCGCCTAGGTGCAGTGGCGAGTCTTTAGTCCTTTCAACATGTGGCCTGTGACATGCGGAGCGATTGCGAGTCGGCGACCTGGTTCTGTTGAGTGTTAGGCGCCGCATTGGCAGCAGGCTTTCGGGATCAGGGGTAGGAATGCTGGCAAGCTACGGTACCACGTGCCTTGCCAGTCTTCCTACCCTTGAATGATGTTTCTATGGATGAATAGGTGTGGTACCGTAGTATGTTTTTATTGAGTGTTTGTGCTTCTTATAAGTGATGTTTTCCCGTTTATCAGCTTTTGTTTTGCGCAAAGATAACTGAGCGGTTTCAACGACGCTTCAGTGGCAGCGGCAAGGTAACGCGAGCATCAAGTGAGAGCATTCGACCCGGTAGACCACCAGGGAAGGGGGACAATGATCAGTGTTGTGACGCTGTTGATCGCATTCATACTTCTGCGAGGAACAGGGAGTTTGAGAAGGCCGCGCACGTTGGCAAGAAAGGAAACATGGGTAGCAACTGGCAAGGTTGACAAATAGCTAGTGAGGTAAAACGACCTAGCTTGTGGGATCAGTTGGCCAGACTACGACGCGACACGACCTACGCATGTATACCGCGGTCCGCGACCACCAAAATATAACTACAGTACGGCGCGACCAAACAAAAATATGTCGCAGGTAGCGGGGTTTTATGTCGCTGCCTTGCATTGCAATGAGTGGTAGGTGAGGGGGCGAGCAGAAAATGTGACACGAGGAATTCAGCGGCAAGTTACTTCCTCGCCTCGCGTGTCGTGACGCGTCCTTGCCACCATCTCAACCTTATCCGTTCGCGTTAGCTCAATCCGTACCTGCCATGTGGCAGCCCAAGGGTCGAAAGAATCCAACCACAAGGATCGTAATATAATTTATTGAAAGTGTTCCAAAAGTGTGTGATTCCAGCTGCTACACCTTATAGTACAGCCCTGTTTGCAGAGACAAACTACGAAAACCCAGTTCAATGCACAAACAGAGGCCAGTTCAGTACATAGACCTCCCCGAGGCCTTCAGGAAAGCGAATTGGGGTTTCTTCTGCCATCCCTGCCTGTCTTGGTTGTAACCTCGTGCACAAAAAACATATTCACACATTTCTGGGCTCCACTGAGCCAGAGTCACACTCAACTGCACCGCATGAGCATGTAAAAAATCAATCATTTCTTGGACCGGAAGATTGCCAGCAGACGAGCAGCCTGAAAGCAGATGCGGCAGAACATGGGGAAGGGGCGGTGGAGAGGAAGGGGGGGAGAACGTGTTTAGTTGAATGGGAACCTTTATTGAATGAGAGTAGCGAGAGTGAACAGGGTGGGTGAGGGGGAGGACGGGGTTGGGGATCCACTATGGGCATGCCGGAAAAGTCTTCTTACAAAAGGAGCAGAAAAGAACTGGTATTATCAATGGCGGGAGGGGTGAGGAAACAGCAGGAACCTTCAGGACGAGAAGAATAAAGATCACAACAGCAACCAAATCAGAGTGAGGAAGCACTGCAGACATGGTACTGATATCCTGTGCTCCCCTCAGCATTCCTCCCTGCAGCACTCCTGCTCATGCTCCTCCCTGTGCTCTAATGTCCCAGCGTACAGCTCTCAAACCGTTCCGTGTGCTGGATTTTGAAAACCAGGTGCATCTCATTCGAGACAACGCCAGTAAGTGCGATATCTTGAGACTGGCCCTGTGACTCCCTCCTACGCGTGTCACAACGCCCTCCTCACCTTGAACACCATAAATCCTCGTATACCATAACAAGTACCCACTGGATTCTCCCCACCACCACTGGTTTCCCTTTTCTCTTGTATCATTCCACATCCTTCCCACATACACTTAGACCACCCATTCCCACAAGATCTCAGTGCTGCTCTGCTGCCAGCTGATCGGACAACCAGAGACCGAAGGCGTTCAGGAAATACAGAAGGGTTCACAGGCATACGAGCGACTCAGACAAGGGTACAGCACTCATTGACAAAACTACCAACTACCGAATTTTCCTACCTGCTCGCAGGTCGTAATTCCTGATACAGGACCAATGACCAGGCGCCCGAATGTGTCCACGGTAACTTAGTACAGCGATTGCAAGTTGCAAATCGATGCGACTAGGTGTGGCGGGCAGCATTTACATTCGAGGTTTACCATGGAGGAAAACTGAACCAGCATCATTTTCTCAGGACAGGAAACGACCTTCTCACAGCAAGCCTCTACATTCTCAGGCACAAGGTAAATTCTCAGCATTGTCACCTTGACTCCACCCAGGGGATTGCAGAAAGGAAGATCGGTCCGCTTGTCAGGGAAACCTCCATTCTGCGTGCGCCATATATTTCTTCTAGCCTGATATTCTCCAAAGAACCTGAGCTTATAGCGCGGATGCGGAGAATTCTCACCTTGACGCGCGAGCGCGGAGTGCCGGACTGTTGCAGCGCGACCAGCGTGGGCATCACCCCCTCCTCGAGAATCTCGTCCCGCCGGCTCTCGTCTTCCGCCAGCATCAGCAGCGCCGCAACCGCGTCCTCCTTTCCGCGCGCGGATCCGCTTTCCAACGCTTCAACCAGCGGCGCAATCCCCCCCGCCACCTGTATCGCCGCGCAACCCGCGGGCGTTTTCGCGATATTCACGAGAACCGCCGTGGCTTTCTCCTCCAACCCCGAGCCGTATTCTTGTAACATAGACAGTAACTTCGGAACTACACCCGCGGACATTAGTGAAGCTCGGTTTTTCTCCGATAGGGATAAGTTAAACAAAGCTAAAGCCGCATCTTTTCGTCCGCGAAGCGACCACGGTTGCGGCGAAAGCATCGCCGTCAGCCCTGCGATGGCTCCCGGTGTCGAACCAACGAGTAATTTATTCGCATCCGACGAAGACGTTATCGCGAAAAGCGCAGCTGCTGCGTTTTCCTGCGCCTGCTGCGAAACAGCCAGTCTCACTTCACCAATTTCGTTTCCGCCCGCCGCGCCAGCTGCGGTCAAGTTCTCCCCCCACTGGCGCTGCCCCGCTCTGGACCCTGCGACACTCGGCGACGAGACGGGCGACGAGCAGCATGATGCGGCGGCGCCGCCCGAGAGCACCGCGACGAGCGCGGGAACGACGCCCTGGCCAATCAGCGGCGCGTGCGACGACGACGTCAACGAGAGATTTAAAGTCGTCGTGACCGCGTGCTCCACGGTCGCCTCGTCCTCGCTCCAGAAGAGATTAATCAGCGCGGAGAGCACGCCGCCGCCTGCCGCGACGACGCTCTCCCGGTTCGCGCGCGAATCCTTCACCATCATGCGCAGCTCCTCCGCCGCCTCGCGCTGCCGCTCACGAACCAGCAGCGTCTCGCTGTCCCCCGATCCCCGCCCCGCGCCCACGCCCTGCATCTGGCGCACGAGCTCCGGAATGCGCAGCCGCGCGTGCTCCTCCTCTTCCGTCCGCACCATCCCCGCTCTGCTTCCACCCGGCGCGCGCTCCTTCTGGCTCTGGCTCCGCCCGGCCGCGAGGTTTCCGCCGCGAGTCAGCATGCGCTCGCCCGCGCCGCCCTCGCTCGGGGCGCCCTCACGCTCCGGCGGCGCGGTGCCGTGCTGCCGGCCTAAGAGTAACGACCGGCTGTTGGAGCTCGAGTTGCAGGTGGACGAGCGCGCGAACGTGAGGTACATGTCGCGCGAGGAGAACCGGCTAACCGACGGGCTGCCGGCCGCGTTAGTGACGTAGACGGACGCTACGGGATGGTTTGGCGTCATGTACGCTAGAGCGGGATTCATTCCTGGTTGATGATGCCGGTCCGATTGATCCCCGTCGTGATCCCAGGAGATTAGGGAATGCGACTGCGGCGACCGCGACGCGTGCTCGGGATAATCGTAGCGCATAGACTGCGAGCCTAGGGAGTGTCGCATGCGATTCGGCAGTCTGCCACCGCCGCCGCCACTGTCTCTCTCCTGCGGCGCCGGAGAGCCAGCGCCGTGACCGTGCGACACTTCCGCCTGCGACGGGACGGCCGCCTGCGACGCTATGCCGGATTGCATCGCAAACTCGACCGACTGCGGCCCCGACCACTCGTCGCGGCGCGGCTGCGGGCCGCTCCACTCGTCCCTCCCGGGATATTGATTCCAGTCGCGCCGCATGCCAGGACTGCCGGTGCTCTTAGCAGGCGTGTACGCGGGAGATGCGGAGGGAGACTGCGAGGATACCGAGGCCGACACGGGCCAAATAGGGCACCGGGGCGACGCGGAGGGGCTCTGCTCGTACGAGCCGCTGGACTGCCGGCGGGCTTCGCGGCCGGCATTGCTCGAAAACGATCTCGAAGGAGAGGATGTCGACGGGCCGGCGTGGAACGAGGCTCGGCGTTTCGGCTCGGCGAGCTGGCCTGCGGTAGGGTTGGTGCGATCCTCCGCGCCGAGCCTGATGCCGTTGCCGAGGCACCACGCGGAGATGACGCTGCGGAGGGAGTTGTTCGGCACGACGGTGAGATTTTCGAGGTGCTGCCCGGAGACAGGGCACACGCGCTTCCCCTCGCCAAACCACCGCTCGATCTCCGCGCGCTCGAACGTTTGACCGGATGCGATTATAACGGGGTCGGTCATTATGTCGAGGGATAGTGGGCAGAAAAAGTCGCCTGGGACTGAGATTCCCTGCGCGCGAAGGTACGAAAGCGGGTATCGGCGGAAAGAGGGGGGAAACGCGTCGGAGTCCGTGGCTTGCTGAAGGAGCGACACGAGCTGCTGCTGAGTCAGCATGCCGCGAAGATGATGGTGATTGGTTGGCGACGTGGTGGAGGACGACGGGGCAGAAGGGAATGGTGCAGATGGGTGCGGCAGGTGTGGGGAGTGGTGGTTTCTAGTGTGCGGGCTTCGGCTGTGTGCGCCTGCAGTGTTTACCTGTGGTGACGCCATGAATAAACGGGAGAGTGGACGAAGTTAAGACAAGGCATGAACCCTAAGCACCAAGACACTCGCTAATGGCTGTAGTATCGTTCTGGATAACTTTCTTGCTTCCCATTGGCACCTAGATGGGCTGCTAACTCAGCAATTTGAGATAGGACCTTGAAAACGAGCGAGGTCTCTGTTCTGCTCGCTCACCTCATCTACAGCTTGGGTCTCTGCTTGCACAGCACATCCATGCACCAGAGTCACCTTGCTGCCGAGTCAACGAGGTGTTTTGTTTTTAACGCGGTTGTTTGGGTTTGCATTTGCTTGCGTACGAAAACGAACGATCCAAGCCAACTGCTCCATTCCCATCCCACCCCATCCCATTCATCATCCAAACCACCCCAGAAGACCAGCAGCAAGATGCTGCACAGAGCGACACCAGCCGTGACAGGCTGCGATGCCAAGAAGACGCCTGTTGGTCAAGAACGACAAGGTCTGAGGCGAGCACACAGCACATGAAGGTTTCGGGTCCAAAATGTATATTTACCAACGGTATCTGTGTCCACTCCGCTGCTACCCCCTGATGGTTGAACTTCGAAGCAATGACTTGCTAATCAAGTTAAGTGGATGCAGATGTGACACTACCATAATTCTTGACTTGGAGGTCGGGGGTGAAAATCACATGCGGAATTCTGAAGCCTGACAGCATTATGTACTTTAAACACTTCCCAACTAGATCTAGGCAAGAAGCATTTCTTGACTTGCGATGGTTCGCAACTTTTATTTTCTTTCAGCCGCCCCGACTTTTGTCAATTCCCACCCCCACTGCACTGCTTCTTTCTTGATATCGAAGTTGATGTCCATAAAGGGGTATAGTATGACAGACACGGGCAGAAGGTCCACAGCAGAACTACTTGCCATGCGTTTGCCTCGCTCGTACAGTATTTCCAGATCAAACTCTGAAAACTGATGGGTCCTCAAGATGCACTGGCATTTTTGCAAGGCTTTCTTGTACTGGTTCTGGACAAAAAGACCGTGGATCTCCTACATACAGCGCCACACGTGAGCAGCAGCCACAGAGTGTACTGGAAATGTTAGGGAATGCTGTATCCTTCATAGCCCATATACCATTATGTGTTTATGTACAGCTGCCACAGAATTGATTCTAAAATGTATCTGATCACAACCTTCACGTTTGTCCGGTCCACTAAATCCTCAAGTTCTTAAAATCCATACTCTTCCACACCCAATGTCCCAAAATATGCGCTTCATGCACATTTGATTATTGGATGCCACATTAATGTAGACCATTCCTCCCCGCCCCCACCGCCCACCCCTCCCCCCCCCTTCATACGGTACTGGTTTTGGAGATGTATGGAGGGAGAAAGGAGGATGGATGGAGAGGAGGGAGGATGGAGGGAGAATCAAATGAAGGAGGGAAATAAGGAGATGGGGATGGAGGGGAAGGGGGAATGGAGGGGGAAGTGAGGATGGAGGGAAAAAGGGAGAACAGAGGGGTTAGCGAAGATGGAGGGAGAAGGGAGGAGGGAGGGTGAAGGAAGGAATGATGGAGGGAAGGGATTGCGTCCGGTGCATGGTGAAGGCCAGATACGTCGGTAGAAAACACCAGGGCAGGCAGGTGATGATTACAATGTGGTAGTAATTAGTTACAAAGTTCCAGTCAAACTCACGTAATCTAGTTCTTGAACCGCATCTGAATATCCACTCCTCGCCCCCTCCGTATTCACACTCCTAACCTAGCCCCTCCTAACTCCACTCCGCGCCCCTGCTTTGTCCCGCTCCTCGCCCTTCACCTGCTCCTCTCGCTTACTGATAGGATGCGTTCCCGCTGGGTCAGAAGCAGTCAAGACTGGTAGCCCTGCTGCTGCGGCCCCTCCTGCTCCGACCTTCCTCCCTTTCCTCCACTTCCCCCGTGACGTCTGCTTGTGTACAAGTAACTGATCTCCTTCCAAAACCCCGTCGCCGCTAGTTCAACTGCACGTGCACCTGACTCCGCTCGTCCCCCATCTTCCATCCCGACATCTGCTTGTGTACAAGTCATTGATCTCCTTCCAAAACCCCCACGCCGCTACTTAAACCACACATACGCCATGACTCCACTCGTTCTTCCCAGCATCTGCTTGTGTACAAGTCATTGTTCGTCCAAAACCCCCACGCCGCTACTTAGACTGCACATGCGCCATGACTCCGCTCGTCCGTCCCCCTCCATTCCCCCCGCTCGTCCTCCCCCCTCCATTCCCTTCGCTCGCCTCTCCCCTTCTCCCCCGTCCACCTCCCCAAAGAGGGTTTTAACCTTACCAGCAACAGCCTCCGCTTCGTCTTGTACCGAGTCGCATTCGCGGCTTGAGCTATCAACGCTCCACGACTGCGCAATGTCACCAAAGTAATCCATCAAATCCAGAGCCAGCTCCTCATGATACGACTCGGCCCGCTGCTGCTGCCCTCGAGATTGTTCGCCATCCGTTTCGCCACTGCGTTTCGTTTCGCCACTACGCCCTGGCAGCGGCGGCGCACAGAGCACGTCGGCTATATCCTGCGGCCCTGCCGCTTCCTGCCGCCCCTCAGCTCCGCTGCTGCTAAGACTCCGCTTGACGTGCGACGGCTGCGACGACTCCTGCGGCGACTGCCGCTGCTTGTCCCCCTGCTCTTGTCGCACAAACGGAACAACCGTCACAGGCTCCGCCGCGGATCCGCTGAAGCTTCTTCGCCGCGCCGCCCCTACTCCCGCCCGTCCCCGCTGCCGCGGAGGGGACTTCGGAATAGCCCCGCCGCCGCTGCCGCCGCCGCCGGCCGCGGAACTCGCGGTCACTCTATCGCGCGTGCGACTCGGCTGCGCGGAAACGCCCTCGAGTCCGTCGAGAACCACGCCGTTTCCCGCTGCGGCGGCAAGCGCAGAATCCCGGCCGCTGCCGCGGTTGGAGAAAATGCGCAGCTTGCGGATCGCCGTCGCGGCGGGGCGTCGGCTGATAATCGACGGTCTCGCGGCCGCGGAAGCGTCGCTCCCCTCAGCGGAGAGGGGCTGCGGCTCGGCGGAGTCCGGAGCTTCTCCCTCCCACGACGGCGCCGCCGGGACCCACCCGGTCGCGGCGCGACGGTCGCTGCCCGCGTCGGCGCTCCCCGGCGGCGGCTTTTCGTCGCCCAGCGCGCTGCGAAGCGAGGAGAAGTCGGAGGACTTGTTTCGCGCGCGTCGGATGATCATCCGATTTCTCCGCGGCCGGCGCGCTGCGCCGCCAGTTTCGTCGGAAGCTTCTTCCGCCCATAGCTCCTCCATGTCGACCGACGCGGTCGCCCTGTGGCGGACGACGGGCGCGAGCGGGCTGCGCACCGCCGCCAGCGCGGCGGGGCGCCACGCAGGGCTTCCGCCGCCGCCGCCGCCGCACGGGGAATGTAGCGCGGAGGCGGAACCGCATCCCAAGGGGGACAGCGCGGCCGCAGGGTGCTCGCCGTGTTTCCGCCTTCCGGCCGCGACAGCTTCCGCCCATGTTCCTTCCGCGGACTGGGGGGAAGAGCCAGGAGAATAACTCCTCACGTGAGTCCTCGGGCTTAGCGCGAGAGCGGCTGTGGTGTTCAATGCGCGCTCGCGGTCTAGCGAGCGGGTTTCGCCAGGGCATTGAGCTCGCATGCGGCGAGCGCGGTATGCGGGGGTGTTGGCGAGTGGCCAGTCTAAATCGGGGGGGTGATCGGAAGGTGAGAGTACTGGACTGTGAACAACCGCAGTTTGGGAAGCCATAAGGAAGGGTTTCAACGACTAACAGAGCTGGAAGGATGACGGTGGAAAGCTTGTTCTATAGAGTGAGAAATTACAGCATTGCTGTGTGTTGCTCGCTTAGGAGATTTTGCATGTGTGCACACAAGAAGAACACATGTGTTGTGGTGTGGTGGTGTGGTGTGGTGTGGCGTGCGGGCTATGGCGTGGCGTGTGGGCCTTCCGGCGCAATGCTGGAAACCAGTCCGCTACTGTGTCAGTGTGTGCTGGATAGCGACAGCCCATTGCAAGAGTAGCCGAACAACCAACTGTACAAGAGTGCGAAAATGTGGAGCGAGTGCACTGACTGGTTACACCCGAGTCGTGCGCTATATTCTTGTGGATGAGCCGAGAAGTGAAGCGCCATCCACTCACACAGCCATTCACCCTAGCGAAGTTTGACGCAACAGCTAGAGAGCGAAAGCATTCCTTGGAACACTGCAGACAGAAGAATCAGAACAAAATCGAATGGCCTGCCCATACTCACTCACGTGATTGGTTGGTTGCCCGTTAGGATTCCTGCTTCACCAAACTGTTTCATGGGCGAACTGTTTCATGGCTGCTTCACGCCAAGGCTTGAAAATCCAAATAGTTCAGAGTTTGTATACACTTCGAGCCTACATTTCACATCCACATTTTCCCTTAGAGCTTGCCTTATGGTGGAGTTGGGTTGAGGATTTTTTTTTTTGCCTAAAATCCCACTGGCCCACACTGCTGAAGTTGGAGCAGCACAGTATGGCGGAATATGCCGATGCTCGTATCAATAATTAAGACCGCGGCATCTATAGCAATTTTGCACGATCGATCCCGGGATCGGTGATTGCACCGCATTGAAAACCTAATGAATGCATTTGCTACGATCAGATGTTGATCGCTACTAGAATCTACTCGGGAAGGTTCGCACGCAGAGAAGTAGAGTTGGTGGGCCCTTGACCTCAATAGCAGAGTGAATGTAAAATGCTTTGAGGTAATTAAGACATGCAAATGCAGCGAATATAAATATGAGTACAGGGAAGACGAATCGACCTAGCTAGCCATGTACTCTAAGGGGTACATTCCCTTATTCAAATTCATTCTCAACCGTGCGGCGCGTACAGTTACGAAACTTTTCCCACCAGAATCCTCCTGCCTGCAGCTGCCCGATGCCATATGCTCCGACGGTCCAGATGCACGTTAACCGTCTGACGCATCGAGTCAACTCTGACTCTTCGTGTTTGTTCTCGATACTGCATGCTTCTCTTGCTGCGGTGAGGAGTGCACAGTAATAATCGAACATTACTATTCGTAACACCCCCCTTCACTCCTGGCCGTAGCTCGACTTGACCTGCTTGACCACGCCGCTGAGTTCGGAGCAGTGCTGGTACTGCTGGCGTGGCAGTCGCTTGGTGAGGAAGTCTGCTGCCATATCACCGGTCGGGCAATAGGTCAAGTTGACCTTGCCCTTGTCCACCTCGTCCTTCACGAAGAAATACCGCAACGCAATGTGCTTGGTGCGGTTGACGAAACTAGGTTTGTTCGCACTGCGAATCGCGCTCTGGTTGTCGCAGTGGAGACGAAAGGTGGATGAAGCTGGAATTTTCGCCTCTTGCAGAAGTTCCTGAAGGTAGGCCTTCGCGAACTGCTGCGGTTGCTGCGATGAATTCCTCTTCGGCTGATGACAGGGCAACCAGCTCCTGCTTCTGCGAGTTCCAGGAGATTGGTCCCGTTGGTTCGAGTCGGAACAGGAAGCCTGTTCTGGACGGTCGATTGTCGGGATCTGCTGCATGATCGGCGTCCACATAGCCGATGAGATTGAAGGATGGGGTTGGCGCAGCACAGCCCAATCTTGTGCGTTGAAACGAAGAACTGTAGTGCGCGCTGCAAGTCCAGAAGATTCTCAGCCGTTGGTTTGCGTGAGTACTGGGCCAACTGACTTGCGATGTAGGAGAGGTCTGGCCTGCAGGTGACGGAGGCGAAGAGTAGGCATCCCAGCTGCTGCTGGTAAGTCTGAATTCCAGCAGGGGATAGGGCTTTGTTGTCAGGCTTGTGGTTTGGTCCGGGAGTTCGGTAGGGAGTTGAGAGAGGTGCAAGTGAGATGTTGAACCGCTCCCCTAGCTCCTCTGCGTACTTAGCCGCTGATAGGTGAATGGCCTCAGGTGCATAGGAGATGTTGAGGCCTAAGAACTGCTTCACCTCGTAGTTGCATGTGATGTCGACGCGCCCCGCCAAAGCTTTCTCGAACTGCTCGAGTAGCTCGTTGCTTGAGCTTGTGTAGAGCAGGTCGTCGACGTAAACCGTGAGGAGAATGTATTCGCCGCGGAAGTCACGGCGGTACATCCCTGGATCGTGAGGCATCTGCTTGAACCCGATTTCAAGCAGGATGTTGTGTAAGTACTGCTGCCACAGCCTCGGCGCCTGCTTGATCCTGTAGAGCGACTTGCGCAGCTGGCACACACGCGAGTCCCCTTCGCCGTATGTGTGTGGCTGCTCCACGTAGATCACGGCATCCACTAACGCGTACAGGAACGCGTTCTTCACGTCGATTTGGCGGAGTGGTAGGTGCCTTGCATCTGCGATTTCGAGCAAGATTCGTACGGAGGTGTGGCGGCTGACTGGAGCGAACATTTGGTCGAAGTCGATGCCATGCCTCTGGTCATAGCCACGCACTACCCAACGCGCCTTGAAGCGCTCGATCGTCCCATCCGCTGCGGTCTTCACGCGGAAGACCCACTTCCCCGAGAGGATCCTTGCGCCTTTGATTGCCGCACGGTTGACCAACACCCAGGTGTCTCGAGACTCAAGCGCCTTAATCTCCGCGTCCATCGCCTCGCGCCATTCCTTGCTATGTGGTCCAGAGAGATCTTCGCGCGGATTTCGGGGCTCGATGACACGTGGCGCTTTTGAGGTTGCGGTGTGAAGCCCGAGCAGCTGTAGTCCTGAAACGGTGCTGTCATGGCGACGTTGCGGGATGACTTCCTGCACACCGTCGTCATCGCTTTCTGGTTCAGGTGGCGCTGGTGGTGCTGCGCCTCTGCCTCTTCCGCCTGTTCCGCCCATTCCTCCTCCGGAGGAATCGTCGTCGTCGTCGTCGCTGCTGCGGCGATCTCCCCGTGTGAACTCGCCCCTTGTGTCCTGCTCCAGGATTGCTGCAGCGGCATCATCCTCGGGCGTTGCGTAGCTATGTCCATCGTTTTCGTAAATGCGGTTCGCGTTCGTCTGCTCGTCGTTGTGGAACTGGTCGAGGAAGAGGCGCTCGTAGAAGATTACGTCGCGAGCGTGGGTAGTCTTCTGACTGAGTAGGTCCAGCACGATCCACGCCTTGTGCTCGTGGCTGATGCCGAGGTGGATGCCCCAGCGTGCGCGGCTCGCGAATTTGCCGATGGTTGACGTTGGCGGGCGGTATTGTACCATGCATCCCCACACGCGGAGCATGGACGTGTCTCCCTTGGTCCCGGTCCACTTCACATGCGGGGACAGGTTGCCGGTGATGGCGGTGGTTGACAGCAGGTTGTGCACCCGCACGGCGTGGTGCATCGCGTAGGTCCAATAGATAGGAGGCAACTTTGACTGCTTCATCAGTGCTCGCACCTTCGTCATCAGCGTGCGGTTCGTCCGCTCAGCTACGCCCTACTGCTGGTGTGCATAGGGGAGAGAAATGTGGTGCTCAATCCCCTTTTGCGCCAGGTAAGTCTGCATTTGGTTGCTTCTGAACTCTTTTGCGCCATCGGATTGCCTGATTTTTAGCTTCTCCCCAGATTGCCGCTGCGCATGCGCCAGCCAGAGGCGGAACACCTCGTAGGCTCTGTCGCGGGATTCGACGTTCACGATCCACACATAGCGTGTTCCTACGTCGATGAAGGTAAGCGTGTACATTTCGTCGTCGACTCCGCAGTGCCCCACGTTAAGGAAGTCGCTGTACACCTTGTGCAGCTTGGGGTAGCGATTTGTTCCTGGCTCGAGCACGGGGAACGGTTGGTGGCTCAGCGCAGCTTCGGGGCAGACAGTGCAGTTGCGCGGGTGTGTCGCGCCTCTCACTTCGGTGCCATCAGGGTGCAGGAGTGCGCCAGGAGCGAAGACGCCTGCGTCGATGCAGTTTTTCAGCGTCGCGCGTGAAGGATGTCCGAGGCGCTGGTGCCAGAGTGCATCGTCAGCGCGAAAGCCGGTGGTGCGCATGTAGCGCGCGCGAGCTTCTTCGGGATCCTCATCAGGTACAGGTGCAGGTGCCGCTGGTGCTTCCTCTGCTGCTTCGTCTTCGTCGTTGGCGGTAGTCAGCATTAGCGCCAGGAACTCTTTGTCGCGGATCTCAGAGAGGGGGATGTTGGTCTCAGGGATGGTTCCAGGGACAAAAGTAGGTTCACGTGGCTCGGGAGCGGGTCCGTAGGCGGTGCGGCGTGGGGTTGACGGCTCGTTGCCCCAGACGATGGTGTCCCATGGATCGCGGTGCGGGGGGTTGTCAGGGGGAGGTAATGCGAGTGGAATATGGCGCGGGGGACGACCAAGGGGAACGACTGCAGGTGTTGCCTCAGTTTCCTCTGCTTCATCCGCTCCCCCCCTTCGTTCTTCGCGGAAAGTCCCCCAGCCGCTATTGTCGTCGCCCCATTCGCCGCTTGCGGTGGCCCAGGTTCCACCGGTGGTTCCCCGTCCGCCGGTGTCACTCGTTCCCCATCCGCCAGCGCTGCCCCACCCCCCTTCATTGGAGGCACTTTCTTCCGCTTCAGCTCCCCATGCGCCGCAAGCGAATGTCCCGCGCGCTTCGGCGAGGCTTTGTTGGCGAAGCTCTTCTGCTTCGCGCCGCGCCAATTCTTCTTCTTGTTCGACGGTAAGTTTCGTCGTGGGATCGCGCCAGTAGGGGTACAGCTTCAGGAATTCCTTGAGGGTGTAGGGGCGTGCGACTCCGCGTGAGTCGAGGGTTCCGCGTCGTTGTCCGCGCAGGATGCCTTCGAGCCGTTGGGAGGGTGATCCGGCGTGGGGGCTTTGGTTGGCGCCGAACACGCGGTGAGTAGTGACCTCGAGCTCGAGCTGAGACATTCCTTCTTCTGGCGGAGCGTGACGCTCTGCTTCGGCGATGGCGGCGAGTCCGCGGCTGGCAATTGCGCTAGTTGACGCCGTCGGCGTGTGACAATCCCTGCAGATGCCGTCTGGGTCAGGGTCATGCAGCGCCGTTTCGCGTGGGTGGGGATGATGCGGCACCCACGGTCTGCCGTCAGGGTGCTTCCAATCCCTGGGGTGAATGTGCTCGAAGTGCAGTGGCACGAGATCGATTAACTCGTGTGAATCGCCGCTGCAGTCGGGAATGTCGAAATCCAAGACGTACACTCCATTTTCAGAGTGCGCTCTACCGATCCGCCTGCGGGGGAAGTTCTTTGATTCATAATGTAGCAGAATGTCGCGTGTCACGCGATCCGTGCCGAGGTCGACGCCGCAGTCCATGAGCCGTGCGGCAGAAAGGAGGTTGAAGCGCAGGTTCTGGACGATCAGCACATCGTTGAGCGTGATGTGTGTGCGGCTTCCGCGTGCCTTGAGCACGACGATGCCTTGCGCGCTTGCGCGCAGGCGGGTGTTGTTAGCCACGGTGACGTAAGTGACTGTGGGGGTAGCGACGGCGTTGGATATGTAACGCTCGGAGCCCACCATATGCTGGCCGCAGCAGCTGTCCAGGTACCAAGTATTGTAGCACTTCCTGTCATCACGTGCGAGCAGCGCCAGTCGCGGCGTGACGATGTGCGGGGTGTCGAACTTCAGAAATTGCTCGCGCGAGAGCCAATCAAGTGGCGCCACCCGCACGTCTAGTATGTGCGGGGGACTTTCAAGCAGTGGGACTGGGAGGTTCCAGTCCTGGTCGTCGTCGTCGGTGAAGTCGCGGCGCGGACTGAACGGGTTATTATTGGTGAACGCGCCAATGGGGTGCGATGCTGGCTGAGGTGAGGGTGAGCGCACGCGGCGACGACGCGACTCGCCTGTCATGGCCATGTTGCTCATGACATTGCGTACAGGGGCAGTCGATGACGGTTGCTGCTGCTGATGCTGAACGGCTGGTTTCAGATTGCGCGCGGGTGCGGGTTGATACCTCTGGGCTGGACGCACGTCGCCTCGTGCGTCTTGTCGGCCGGACCAGTTGCTCGGATTGGTCTGGCGAGGGCGACATCGGAATTTACATCGATCCGCCAGGTGCCCGAAATTCCTGCAAATTTTGCAGTAGAGGCGCCGCGGTCTTCGCTCTTCGGTGTTGTCGGCATAGAAGGCGAGCCGTTCTCGTTCTCGTCGTGGCGCTGGTCGCTGCTGATCCATATCCCGTTGTTCGACGAGAAGGGCGGCGCATAGGGCGGCCTCCGAGATGACCCCCTGCTGCCGGAGAAGCGCTTTGCAGGGCCGCCACTCTGGGCCGAGCCCTTGAAGCACGATATTGACGAGGATTTCTTCCGAAATCGAGCTTCCCAACTTCGCGATTTGGTCGCGAAGGCTCCGGCAGCGATTGATGTAGCTGTTGACCTTCTCCCCTGAGGTCATTTTAGTCTCCAGTAGCTGCTGAAGCAGTCGGCTCGAAGAGACTGAGTCCTTCGGCTGATATACACCGTTGAGGTGGCGCCAAGCGTCCAGGGCTGGAGCAGTCGATGTCTTATACGAACGAATTTTGAGCTGCTCCGCCGGCGACATGTTGCGCAGGAGGATTTGCTGAGGGAGTTTTGCGAGGACTTCGGTACCGATCGTCGTCGTGTTCTCGCTTGTCGCAGCCGGGTTGGGTTGCGCTTCAGCCGTCAGATTGGTCTGACCACCAGATCCTCCGGCCATTCTCACACGCGAGCGTGTGCCGGACGCCACTTTCCTATTGTCGTAATTTTCGGGAGTGGCAGTGCGAAGGATTCCCGAGACGCTCTGATACCATGCTACGATCAGATGTTGATCGCTACCAGAATCTACTCGGGAAGGTTCGCACGCAGAGAAGTAGAGTTGGTGGGCCCTTGACCTCAATAGCAGAGTGAATGTAAAATGCTTTGAGATAATTAAGACATGCAAATGCAGCGAATATAAATATGAGTACAGGGAAGACGAATCGACCTAGCTAGCCATGTATTCTAAGGGGTACATTCCCTTATTCAAATTCATTCTCAACCGTGCGGCGCGTACAGTTACGAAACTGTTCCCGCCAGAATCCTCCTGCCTGCAGCTGCCCGATGCCATATGCTCCGACGGTCCAGATGCACCTTAACCGTCTGACGCTTCGAGTCAACTCTGACTCTTCATGTTCGTTCTCGATACTGCATGCTTCTCTTGCTGCGGTGAGGAGTGCACAGTAATAATAGAACATTACTATTCGTAACAGCATTCAATGTCAAAACATGTTTATATCAAGTTAGTTTTGTTAGGATGTAGTGGGTCACTCCCTATGGGGTACAACCCTTGTTAGGGTTAGTAAATGTACCACATTTCTTGCATTAGTCAATCATTCATATTTTCTATTTTGACATGGTTTCACATCACGTTCCGTTTCAGGATCGTTTCTTTAGGGCCCACCGTTCGTTCCATCTTGCCCGTCGATCAGCTTTGCCCTGCCCTGCCCAATGTATTTTTCAGCCCTGTCTAGCACGCTGCCCGCGCGCTGCCTACCTGCTGCCTGAGCTGCTACGAGTTGTGCGCTACCGCCCGCTGCCCAGCGCCAGCGTGCGCCCCGCTGCCCAGCGCCCGCGCGTGCTCTGCTGCCCAGCACCCGCGCGTGCCCTGCTGCCCAGTGCCCACGCGCGCCCCGCTGCCCCTTACCAGCGCGCGTCCTGCTGCCCAGCGCCCGTGCGCGCCCCGCTGCCCTGGGTCCGTGCGTGCCCCGCAGCCTAGCGCCAGCACGCACCTCGCTGCCCAGCGCCCGCGCGCGCCCCGCTGCCCAGCGCCAGCGCGCGCCCCGCTACCCTATGTCCGCGCGTGTCCCGCTGCCCAGCGACAGCACGCGCCCCGCTGCCCAGCGCCTGCGCGCGCCCCACTGCCCTACGCCCGCGCGTACCCCATTGCCCTATGCCTGTGCGTGCCCCGCTGCCCAGAGCCAATGCGCGCCCTGCTGCTCGGCGGCCACGCGTGTCCCGCTGCCCAATGCCAGCACATGCCCCGCTGCCCAGCGACCGCGCACGCCCCACTGTCCTGTGCCCGCGCGCGCCCTGCTGCCCAGCACCAGCACGCGCCCCACTGCCCAGTGCCCGCGCGCACCCTGGTGCCCAGCGCCCGCGCGCCCCACTGCCCAGCGCCCGTGCGCACCCTGCTGCCCAGCGCCAGCTCGCGCCCTGCTGCCCTGCAAGCTACCCGCGCGTATCTGTCCTGCCCTGCTTGTGCACATTACCTAACCGCTGCGCTACACACACCGCCAGCCCTGCCCCACGAGCGACGTGCTCTAGAACACCCAGTTACTCGCGCTCTTCCCTAGCTGCTCCTTCGCTGCTGCCACTGAATGCCATGGCCATCACCACTGTCCTACGTCAGCGGCAGCCGAGTGTGCACGAGTCTCTCTCGCCATAGCAGCTTCGCGAATGGGCTATCTGGTGGGGCAGCCCTGGTGGCGGAGCTGGCCATGCTAGAGCTGGAGGTGCTGGTGCTGGCGGTACTCGTACTCGTTGACAGGAGACGCTCTCATCGTATCAGCTTCGCAAGAGGGATGTCCGGTGGGGCAGCCCCGGTGGCGGAGCCCGGGGTGCTACTACTGGAGGTACCTGTGAGTCTACTCCTGCTGGTAGTGCCGCTGGTAGACGCGGAGGTTCTGGGGGTAGACAGCAGCAGCAGCAGCAGCGTCCGATAAGTGGGCTGTCCGATGGGGCAGCCCCATTGGCGGAGGGTTTTAGGGAACTCGTACTGGGGTGGTAGAGGCACCTGGTGGCATAGAGGCTACTAGTCTCGGCTACCGTCTTGGCCACCCCTCTTTGCCACGCCTGCATGGCATGCACTCCCGTTTCCTTTTGTCTGGTCTCCCCAGGTCCCTGCCCCCGCTTCCGAGGTCGCATGCACTGCCCTGCCTTCCCTGCGTCGAGGGGCGACAGCGCGCCGCTCTTCATTCATCCTCGTTTCCTCCTACCACTGCTCCTTTGCAGACCCTCCACATGGACGCGTAGGCCCCCGCCCGTTGTAGACGACTACACGCGCTACACCACGGTCTTCCCCTTGCATAGCAAGGCAGATGTCCGCAGTGTCTTGATCCACTAAATCCGCGCTGCCCGTCTCGAGCTTAGCGCTTGGTTCTGGCAGGACCTTCCGATCCTGCGGCTGCACTCTGACCGAGGTGGTGAGTTTTCCTCCCGCCTTCTCGAGGTATTCTGTGGTGCTGAGGGCATCCGCCCGTCATTCACGCTTCCGGCCTCTCCATAGCAGAATGGGATTGCAGAGCGCCACATCGGCTTGGTCATGGAGGTTGCTCGCACCTCCATGATCCATGCGTCTGCTCCCCATTTTCTGTGGCCGTTTGTGGTCCGACATGCCGCGCATCAGCTCAACCTCTGGCCCCGTGTCTACATGCCAGAGACTTCGTCTACACTGCGTTGGACGGGGGAGGTTGGCAATGTGTCGGAGTTTCGGGTCTTGGGATCCTTCTCTCTTGCCCGCGATCTGCCTGCTGGCAAGCTCTCTCTGCGCACTCTTCGGTACGTGTTTTTTTGGCTTTCCCACAGACGCACCGCTCTGGCAATTTTACCACCCGGGCCCTCATCGTGTTGTCCTCCTGCGACATCACTTTTGGCGAGTCATTATGCTTCTACCCTCTTCACCCCCAACGCAGTTCCCCGGTACCCCTCTTGCCGCTCTCCCAGGTTGTCGACCCCCCCCTGGGTAGCCCTCCTCCCGGTCCTGCTCCCTCATGTGTGTCTCAGGTAGACCCACCCCACTTGGTTGAGCCTTTAGAGGTTCCCTCTGCCACCTCTGTCCCAGCTGAGGGGGGTGACCCGTCTGCTGGCGACACCGTGGCCCCTCGCCACTTCGCGCGCCTGGCGGTCCCTCCTGGTTTTCCGCCTCGGCCGTCTTCACCGCCTCTGCAGCCCATCGATGTGGACTCTGGTGCTGCTGGAGGTGGTGACATTGGGGGTGGGGACTCTGAGGGTGCTGGCTCTGGGGGTGCTGAGTGTCCTACGGGTACAGGAGATGCTGAGGGTGCTATGGTTGGAGGTGCTGGTGGTGCTGGTGCTGGTGAAACTGGTGCACGTCGGCAGGAGACTCTCTTGCCGGAGCGGCTTCGCGAGTGGGCTGTCCGGTGGGGCAGCCCCGGTGGCGGTGCTGGACGTGTTGGAGCTAGAAGTCCTGGAGGTACTGGACATGGAGGTGCTAGTGCTGTTGTTCCTGGAGTTGGATGTGCTGGAGGTACCGTTACTGGAGGCACTGGTGCTGCTGGAGGTACTGGAGGTACTGGTGCTGTGGGCGATGTTGCGGGTGGTACTGGTTCTCGTCGGCAGGAGCCTCTCTCGCCGGAGCGGCTTCGAGAGTGGGCTGTTCGGTGGGGCAGCCCCGGTGGCGGAGCTGGACGTATTGGAGCTGGAGGTACTGGAGGTACTAACCCTGGAGGTGCGAGTGCTGGTGGTCCTGGAGTTGGAGGTACTGGAGGTGCTGACACTGGAGGTGCTGACATTGGAGGTGCTACTGGAGGTACTGGAGTTGGTGGTGCTAGTCAGCAGGAGTCGCTCTCGCCAGAGCAACTTTGCGAGTGGGTTGTGCGTTGGGGCATTCCCGGTGGTGGAGCTGGAGGTACTAGTTCTTGGGGGTGCTATTGCTGCTAGAGCTGGAGGTTCTGGGGGTGCGACTACTCAACCACAACAATCTACGCTTAGTCACCTTCTTAGTCTCCCACCTGCTGTTGAGTTCCCTGTTGCTTGCACTACTCCATAACCGTTTCCACCGCCGGACTAGTTTCAGGCGCAGCTACTGCCTCACTCCCCACTGCCTGCTCCTGCTCCTTACACTGCGGTGACAGAGTCCCTCACTGAGAGTAGAGAGCATGCGACACATCCTGTCACCCCTGTCCGTACCCGCCGTGCTATGCGTCCTCGTCCTCCACCTGTCCTTGGCACGCACATCATGGCACTTCGTCCTTCCTCTGTTCCATAGCGTGTTGTCCTGACGTCGCCTCCAACGTCTTCTCTTCCTCGTGTTCCTAACCCTGAGTCCGACCTTGTCCGTATTGCCAGTTTAACTGTCACTCATCTTCTTGCCACGGTTGTGACTGACCCTTCCTTTGAGTCTGTTGCTGCGTCTGCCTTAGTTGCTGAGCTTGTTGACATTGCTGTTTTGTGCCGCCTTGACCACGTTGCGACTTGTTTTTTACTCTTCCTGTCCTCCGTTCATCGAGGGTGAGCTTGCCCTTCGGTGTGACATCCTTGAGGATAGGCAGTTTGAGCTGGAGTGCCTAGCGGCCGCTGCACCTCATCTCGCTTCCGCGCTACTTTGCCATAAGGGAGACCCAAATGCACTGGACATCCCGACCCCGCGTTCTTACGCAGACACGATCACGGGCCCGTAATCATCTCCGTGGCAGATAGCCATGGACGCATAGATGACTTCCTGGAATTCCACAGGCACCTACGTTGACGCACTTACCCCATCTGGGGCGAACATAGTCGATGGCATATACATTTTCATGGTGAAGCAGTTAGCGGGTTCTCCGCCTGCTTTCAAGGGGCGTTACATTGCACGAGGCTTTGGTCAGCGTGAGGGGGTCGAATTATTCCAGACCTTCTCCCCCACCTCAAAGATGACCACTCTTCGGGTACTACTGCACGTTGCAACACAGCGCAACTACGAGCTGCACTCACTCAACTTCTCGACAGCTTTCTTGCTGGGCAGCCTTCACGAGGCTATCTGGTTGCGCCGCCCACCTGGCTTCACTGGGTCGTTTCCTGAGGGTACCCAGTGGAGTCTCCGACGACTAGTCTACGGTCTGCGCCAGGCACCCCGTGAGTGGCACGATACATTGAGGACAACATTTGCGGCTCTTGGTTTCGCTCCCTCGACTGCTGACTCTTCGCTGTTTCTGCGCACAGACACTTCTCTGCCGCCGTTCTACGTTCTTGTGTATGCCGAAGACTTGGTTTTTAGTATTGCTGACACTGAGGCACTGGCCCAAGTGAAAGCGAAGATGCATGAGAGACACACCTGCACTGACCTGGGTGAGCTGCGGAGCTATCTTGGCTTGTATATCACCCGGGACACAGCATGGCGCACCATCACCCTGACTTAGTCACACATGGTGCACCAAGTCCTTCAGCGCTTCGACTTCGAGTTCTCCTCGCCACTGCCCACTCCTCTGCATACAGGCCACTCGCTCTCAGCTCCACCTTTGGACGAGTCTGTAGAGCCGAGTGGTCCGTATCCAGAGCTTGTGGGTTGCCTCATGTACCTGATGACGTGCACACGATCTGACCTCGCGTACCTCTCAGCCTTCTGGCTCACTACGTGGCTCCCGGTAGACATCCAAATGTGCACTGGGAAGCTGCGAAGAGGGTACTACGTTACTTGTGCAGTACATCGGGCATGGGGCTCGTGCTTCGAGGATGGGGTTCAGTTATTCTCACCAGTCACTCAAACGCTTCTTGGGCTGACGACCTGTTGACTCACCAGTCGACACATGGGTACAGTTTCAGCCTCAACATTGGTTCTGTCTCGTGGAGGACCACTCGCTCTTCTTCTGTACTTGATTCCAACTGTGAGGCCGAGATCTACGCTAGGGCTGTGGCTGCACAAGAGCTCCGCTGGCTGACCTACCTGCTGACCGACTTGGGTGAGCGACCTCGTTGTCCTCCAGTTCTGTACGTCGACAACAAGGCCATGATTGCCTTGTGCCAGAATCAGAGACTGGAGCACAGAACGAAGCACATTGATCTCCGTTACTTCCTCATGCGAGAGCTGCAGAAGTGTGGTCAGCTTCGTCTTCCTTACGTGGCCAGACAGGCCAACACTGCTGATGTTTTCACCAAGGCCCTTGGGTCTAGTAATTATCAACGTTTCTGCACTACTCTTGGGCTTATGCCCACGCTGCCTTACCTGCTTGTCTCTTGATATTGCCTTGCACTTGTTGTACTCGGATATACATGATTATACCTGCATGTTTGCACTTGCTAGGTTGTGATTAGTGTACGGAATTTGCTTTTATATACTCTGCACATGAATAGGCCTTGTGGCCGCTTCCTTGTGCTCAGAATGCGTGGTGATCTTGAGATCCACCCTGAGCTTTGCTTTGCTTTGTTTTGCTTTGCTTTGTTCTCTTGCTTGACTGTTCTTGTGGCCTCTTGTTGTCCCCCACTTCGCCTATGGGGGTGTGTCAAAACATGTTTATATCATGTTAATTCTGTTAGTCTGTAGTGGGTCACTCCTTATGGGGTATAACACTTGTTAGGGTTAGTACTTGTACCACGTTTCCTGTTAGTCAATTATTCATGTTTTCTATTTCGACGTTCAAACTCTCGACACCATTTTGAACTCACCAAAAAGCGATCCTGCGCAGGATCGGTCGCGAAATTAGTGCTAGAGGTGTCGTGTCCTAATATATTATTGCTCTTGCGCTTACTGATCCCTGTTTCACGGGCCACACTCGCATTCTTACGAACGATACATGCTGCACGAAAAACATACCGTATTCTTCACCAGTACAGCATTTTTCCCTTGTGGCAATCCGTGTGTCGTGAGGATCTGCCATTGTCATCCACAGACTTCAGGAGGACCCCTGCTTTCCATTTATTGCCTTCAGCTGGCGGATCCGATGCTGCATCCACCAAATCAAGGCATGAATATGGTCATACCAGCCAGGCCAGCCCTGGTCTCAGCCTATTCAACTTAGGCCAAATCGCCCACAGATTCAGGTTCCCTTCACAGCCTTGTTGGGAGGATGGGGAGATAAGGGAGCATGGA